GCATTTATCTACTTTTTTATTTCTATTTTCTGAGCAAATAATAATCACTGGTGACTACTCCTTAAAACAAAAAAAAAAAAGACAAATTTATTTAAGCAAAATAAAAAATAAAACAAAGTATGAGAAAGAGAATGCAAACTGCTCATCCATCATACATTTCTCCCTAACTCCTTTACTGAAAGAACTCTGACTTTGTTGAAAACATCAATAAGCCCAACTAAAAATTATTTTCTAGCCTCCCTTGCAGCTTGGTGGCCATGTGATGTAGTGCTGGCCAATGAGACAAAAGCATTTGACACTTTGTAGGGATGGGGAAAAATTCTTTCAAAGGGGAGTGGCTGGCATGCCTATTTTCCCTTTGCCTTCCCTTCCCTTCTGCCTGGAAAGCAGATGTGATGCCACGAAGAGTAGGAGCCACCTTGGGACCACAAAATTAAAGGACAGACCCTAAGGATGGTGGAACAGAGAGATAAAAGGAGCCAAGGACATGAGGACACCAATTCCTCATGCAAGTGCACGAGCTAGGAATTCTTCCTCTAGACTTCACATGATGTAGGGGGAAAATAGTGAACCTCATCTGGTTAAGTCACATAAATTGGGTTTTTTTGTTACAGACAGCCAATCATATTCCTAATCACTATAATATTGATCAAACTAAATAAATTTTATGGACCATGGCTCTAAGATCTTATGCCATTTGTATTTTGAAATTGAAAGAGATTAAAGAGAGAGGCAGAGAAATAAATTGCTACTAGTCCACCTGGGTGACCTCAATCTTTTCTAAAGCAGCATTACTATGTAAAAGATTATGGCATTTACTACTACAGCAGAAATACACTGATTATCTATGCACACTTCTTTTAATTACAGATCTCTGAATGAAAGTCAGCACAGTACTTGGAAAGAAGGTGTGCATCATCAAACCCCTGACTCAATGCCATATTAATCACCAAATTACACAAGATTAAAATTTTCAAATAAAACATGATAGAACCTGTATCACCTGACAATTGCTTTCTTTCATGCTCACCCTTTCACTTTAGTGTAGATATCAGAATAGGGTAATCAGAGTTTTAAAATTGGCATGGAAAATACAAAAGCAATATAGAGGGTGCCAGGAAATTCATTTTCATAGAATTAACTTGATTGAAATAAAATCAAACAAAATACAAGAAAACATAACCTGGCTTACCATGTTGTCTTTCACTCCTAACAATGAGAAAATCACTGATGACTCAGACCCTTAAGGGAAAGCTTCAGTCCACACCAAGTGTCATGCCTACCCATGATAAGCAAAATAAAAGAAAGTGCCTTTGACATCTTAGTCAAGGATAAAACCATGATGTCCTCATGTATTGGGTCTTTGTATGTAAAAATGGCAGTGCAGAGACTATGGTTTTAATCGTGGGAACCCGGAGCAAACACAAGCACACTCAACACTCTGACCAGTAACACAGGAGCTGCAATCACTGACCACTGGTGGTTGCACTTTGTGACTTTCACGGGTCTACACACAGCCAAACTTGTCACTGTGGCTTTACTTCTATCATGGTAGACATAAGATTGGATTCGGAGTTCTTCCCCTTTCTCCTGGGCCTATCTGGACATGTCTGCTTCAGACAAATGAAAATAAAGTGAAGAGGAAACAGGAAGGTACTGATTTGGGTACACACTGTTTCAATTCCCAGTTTTCGCTGCCATGCTACAAGAGTGCTATGCTTTTCAAAGGCAGCATGTACTCTCTAATTCGGAGGGACACTGGTTCATGAACTCCATCACTGTGAATTCCATCCCCCTATAGGAACAATGTCAACCTAGCATAACCAACATCCGTCACCATCAGTCACAGTGAGTCACTTGCAAGTGGCCATCTCCCAAAAGAAACAAGCAGAGTGAGCCAAAGTCCACACCCAACACTCGGCGCACTTGCTTTTCACACCCTTTCTGACCTACGGTGAGATGTCGCGGGCCAGGGGAAAGCCCCTATGTTAGCACAGCGCTTTATATATACATATCAGTACTCTCTATAAAATAGTGATGTCACTAATATCCTAATTTACTTTAAAGTTCAGAAACAATCCATAAGTTCATCCACATGGCATGTGAGAAATGTCACTGAGCTAAAGCACCTGAGTGTCCTTGCACTTGGAAATGTCATATGTGGGACCATCTCTCCGGAAATAAAACATCATCCTGGCTGAAGAAGAGAGGGAAGAAAACCCAGAGTCTTTCCAAGTGAGGAGATTTAACTTGATTTTGGCTTTTCATTGTTATTTCTTTGTTTTATTTTTGTCTGTTCTATGGGGGCTTTGTGCTATAGAAAGGTATGCTGGAAATGGCTTCAGCGCCCTAGGCGGACACCCAGACCCCCACATGAGGTGTTGGAAATGCTTTCGATAGACAAAGCTTACTCGCACACGCACACTGCTGATGCAGAACAGGGCTCCCGGGGCAGTGCTTGCATCCAACTGCACAGGGAGTGGTTAAGGAGAGAGGAGGCGACCCCCCAAGGGCTGCTCTCTGTGGCTGGAAGGCATGGAAAGGAAGGAGGAAGGGAAGGAGGAACAGGGAGAAGGGACAAGGAAAAGGGAAGAAGTAAAGGACTTGCTGACAGTCCTCTTAAGAGCCAGCAGAGGTGATACCCACTGATTGAACAGTATCCGCGAGCGCACGATGAACTTGAAGATGTATTCCAAAGCCTTCATGGCTTTATACAGCTGGTCGTTTATTCCCGGCTTCTCAGCGTTGTCCACGTAGTTCCTTAATACTTTTGTCAGCTTCCTGTCCACCATGGAAACACACATAAAGAAGTTATTGTAACACCTTAATTCTTTACTGATAAAGAAATACACAAATAGGTTATTTTTATTTTGGTTTCCACTTATCAGTATATGTACATTCGTAAAATGCTTTTTAATGCGATAAAGTGATAAAATATCGCTCATAAGAACAAGGTGTGAGCGTTTAATGAGGACTTTCACAGTTAGATGTTCTTCTAAGCATGCTAAATGCACTGTCTAATTCAAGCTTGACAGCAACACTGTAAGACAGTATTATCTTTACTTTCCAGACAAGGAAGCCAAGGCTGAGACAGGTGAACTGGCTTCCCCAACGTTAAACAGCAAAACCAAAAGGAGTTTTATTAGAGTCCCACAGAGACATAAAAACTGTTTTGAAAAAGGCATTACAACAAAAATGTTCTCTCACTAGATTACGGTGATGGTTCCTCAATATTGTAAATGTATTAAATGCCATTGAATTGCACATTTTAAAATGGTTAGGAAAATTTTGTTATGTATATTTTACTATAATTTTTAAAAGGCATGACACAGTATTTGTTATAGAAAATCACCTCAGCCACCTCTATTCATTTTAATTGATTTTCTAAAACTAGAGCTCTTACAATGAAAATAAAACTTCTAGAAATAATTTTTCAAATAGAAAACATTCTTAAATTTTTAATATTTTCCAAAAATCCTTATATAAAATAAAAACAATATATAAGAATAATATCAGTGGATACACAAAAAGATTTTTAAATATTTTGTACATTTCCTAGTAATAGGATTCCCCAAAAACAATTAGTGTTAAAAACATAATGAGACTACACTTTTCGTCTATATATTTATAAACTGTGATCTAAAACCAACTCCCTAACATGAAAGCATTTAAAATGTTTTCCATGATAAAGAATTTTACAGAATTTATAATATAATATATAAGAAATGAATTATTTTTCATTTTTCTGTCCCACTACAGAAATATAAACTATGTATTGGAAACTTGATTTTAATGATTTTAATTCGTAGCTTCACAAATTATTTTAAGTGCTTAGTTCATAGTTTTTTTGGTTTTTTGTTTGGTTTTATTTTTTGTTTTTGTTAAATTCTTTGCTAAAAATGAAAAGAAAAACATTATACTTTTTAAACTTTTTCTACTTTGATTTCTTTTAAATAACCACAAAGTTCAGTTGGTAATAGATTTACTCAAAGCTTCAGGGTATGTGAGGAGGTTAATTTAAAGAAATAAACAATAAATATAGAGACATATAAATAAAAATAATCAACTTCATTAATAAATACATGGAAATTAAAATAACACAAAATAAAATTTTTGCCTAGTACCGACAAGATGTGAGGAATCAGGAATCAAAAGGCTGCTGTTTGGCCAACCAGGCCGGATAGTCTTTAGAGGGTAAATCGACAATATGCATTACAATATCTATTGGTAATATCTATTACAATTAAAAATACTCCAATCCTATGACACCAGTAATTCTACTTCTGGTAATTTGTCCTAGTAATTTGTAATAGAAACAATTACAAATAAATTGAATGATGTTCACTGAAGCGTGGTCTGCACTAGAAAAATAGATAAACAATGCAAATACTCATCATTTAAGGACTGGTTAAATTATGATACATCCCTACAATGGAATACTACACAGCTGTTCAATGCTAAAGGTGGAGGCTTAAAGGGGAGACTTTATCGTCACAAACATGGAAAAAAGGCCAGTTATGCTGCTGTGCTATTAAAAAAAAACAGCAGTTATAAAACAGTAAGTCTCTTGTGGATCTGTTTTATATTTAATATTATATTCCTTTGATCTTTTGGTTTATCTTTATGCCAATACCATATTATCTTGGTTATTGCAGTTTAACAGGAAGTCTTAAAATCTGGTTCTCCTGAAAATTCATTTGGGTATTTTGTATTTCTATATAAATTTTCAAATCAGTTCATCAATTTTTTTCCACAAAAGCATGCTAGGATTTTGGTTGGGATTATGTTGAAAGTATAGATTCATTTGAGACAAATAAACATTCAGCAATATTTCATTTTTCAATCCATGAACATGGTATATATCTCTAATTATTTAATTCTTTCTAAATTTCTCTCAGTAGTGATTTGCAATTTTCAGTGAAAAAGTCTTCACCCATCTATCATTAAATTTATTCCTCAGTATTTGATGATTTTGGATAATATACTAAATTGCACTGTACTTTAAATTTCATCTCTCAGTTATCTGTATACTTATGGTTGGATAGTCTTCATTTTGTTTTGGAATATATAGGTTTCCGACAAACAACAACTATATATTTGCAGGGTTTAATGGGATGTTTTGATACATGCTTACATTGTGGAGTGATTAAATCAGGCTTTGTATATTAATTTTTGTAAGGTTACCTACTGGTTCTAGTACTTGTTTTTTGTTTGGTTGGTTTGGGCTTATTTAAAATGGATTCTTTAGGGTTTTCTATGTACATAATCACATTGTGTGAAAATACAGTTTTATTTCTTTCTTCCCAATTGCTATATCCTTAATTACTTTTTCATGCATTACTACACTATTTCCAGTATAATAATAAACAGATACAGTGAGAACAGACATCCTTGCCTTGTTCCTGAACTTGGGGGAAAAGCTTTCCACAATGCAGCATTAAGTATGAGGTTGGCTGTATCTTTTCTTAGATGTTCTCTATCAGACTGAGGTATCTATTCCTAGTTTTCCAAGAGGTTTTATCAGAAATGGATGTTGAATTTTGTCAAATGCATTTTCTACATTAGTGAGATTTAGAGCTAAAAGCATAAAGCAACTGAAATAGTGATGCCCAACAGAACTTTCTGTAATGATGGGAACCTTCTAGATACGACCTGCCCATCATGGCAGCCACTCACCATATGTGGCAACTGGGCACTTGAAATGTACCTAGTACATTAAATTTTTAATTTGATTTTATTTAAATAGCCACATGGGACTAGTGCTGGGACATTAGACAACACAGGCATTGTTGTGACCTATGGTTAGACAAAGACTTTTTAACCCCAAAGGAAAATCTATGACTACTTTTAAAAATGCTAAGTTAGGCTTCAACAAAATTAAAGTTTCTGCTCATCAAAAGATACCATTAGGAAAAGGGATAAGCACAAGCAGGGAGAAAATGCTCAAAATTTATGTTTGACAAATATATATATATATACACACACACATACATATATACACAAATCAATAATAAAAAGACAATGAAATTGAATACACATTTCAGAAATGGTAAATAAGGAAATAAATAGGTGCTCAATATCATTAGTGATCAGATAACTGCAAGTTAAAATCACGAAGAGATATAATTTTGCCCCCATTGTAACAGCTAAAATTTAAAAAGACAGTATTGAATGTTGACAAGGATTTTAAGCAAATGAACATTCGCAGATCGCTGGTGGGTAAGCAAAATGGTGCAAATCATTCTGGAGAAGCACTTGGTAATTTCTTATAAAGCAAGACACACACATGCCCTCTAGCCTGCCAATTTTACTCTTAAGAGCTTATCGCAGGGAAATGAAAACTCTGCCCACAAAAGACTTGGACAATAATATTCATAGCAGCTTTATTCAGAATAGCCAAAAACTAAAAGCACTTCAAAACCCATCAGCAGGAGAATGGCCAAACAAGTCATGGTGCATTCACACACTGGGATACTATTCAGCAATAAAAAAAGAAGAAAATCAAATACTGACGCTCAAAGCAACATGGTTGCATCTGAAAAGCATGATGTTAAAGGAAAGAAGCCAGACACAACAGAGCACGTGACACCACCGATATAAAGTGCAAGAACAGGCAAAGCAAACTGAGGACAATACAAATCAGAAAGTGGCTGCTTCTTTGGGGGTGGGACTGACTCAAAAGGAACAGAGGGACCATTCCAGGGAATAGCAATGTTTTATTAACACATCCTGGGCAGTGGTCACAAGGGTGTATACAATTGTCCAAACTCATGCTTCAACATGAGCATTTTACTGGATGTAAATGATAACAATGAAAAAACATGTTACTATAAGCGTAGAAAATAAAGCCAGAGACAGTAGTGGTCTCCGATATGTATCATTACATACAGGGAACTTTGATTTTCTGCAACATCATATTTTGGTAATGTGAGATGTTTTTAATTTTTTTTTTTTTTTTTACATTGAGCGTGTATTTTTTTTTCTTTTACAGTTCATTGAGATCAGATGTATAATTTGTGAATATTTTCTCCCATTGTATAGGTTGTCTATTTACTCTGTTGATTATTTCCTTTGCTGTGCATAACTTTTTTAATTTAATTAAGTCCCATTTATTTATTTTTGTTATTGATGTATTTCCCTTTGGGATCTTAGTCATAAAAAAAACCCTCTATGCACACAAACTAGAAAATGTAGAGGAAATGGGTAAATTCCTAGAAACGCACAAACTCCTAACCCTAAATCAGAAAGAAATAGAAACCTTGAACACACCAATACTGAGCAGTGAGACTGAAGCAGTAATAAAAAAATCTCGCAACAAAATAAAGCCCCGGCCCAGACGGATTCAAAGACAAATTCTACCAGATGTACAGAGACAAACTAGTACCTGTCCTACAGAAATTATTTCATAGTATCGAGAAAGAGGGAATCCTCCCTTACTCATTCTATGAAGCCAGTATCACCTTGATACCAAAGCCAGGAAAGGACACAACAAAAAAAGAAAACTACAGATCAATATCCCTGATGAACATAGATGCAAAAATCCTAAGTAAAATACTAGCAAACCAAATTCAATAGCACATCAAAAAGATAATTCACCATGATCAAGTGGGCTTCATCCCAGGGATACGAGGATGGTTCAACAAACGCAAATCAATATGCATGATTCACCGCACAAACAAAAGCAAAAACAAAGACCATATGATTATCTCAACAGATGCAGAAAAAGCATTCAATAAAATTCAGCACCATTTCATGATTTAAAAAAAAAAAACTCTCAACAAGCTAGGCATACAAGGAACCTGCCTCAAAATAATAAAGGTCATATATGACAAACACATAGCCAACACATACTGAATAGGGAAATGTTGAACACATTCGCCCTAAGAACTGAAACAAGACAAGGATGCCCACTGTCACCACTTCTATTCAACATAGTACTAGAAGTCTCAGCCAGGGCAATCAGGCAAGAGAAAGAAAAAAAAAGAGTATCCAAATCTGGAAAGAGGTGGTCAAACTATCCCTGTTTGTTGATGATATAATTTTCCTTGTATCTAGAAAACCCTAAAGACTTCACCAAAAGACTCTTAGAACTGACAAACAAATTCGGCCAAGTCTCAGGTTACAAAATCAATGCACACAAATCAGAAGCACTTCTATATACTAATAACAGTCAAGCTGAGAGTCAAATCAAGGACTCAGTATCATTTCACAATAGCTACAAAGAAAACTAAATACCTACGAATATACTTAACCAAAGAGGTGAAAGATTTCTACAAGGAGAATACGAAACACTGATGAAAGAAATCATAGATGACACAAATGGAAAAACATCCCTTGTTTATGAATTGGTAGAATCAACATTGTTAAAATGTCCACACTATGCAAAGTGATTTACAGATTCAGTGCAATCCCTATCAAAATACCAATATCATATTTCGCAGATCTAGAAAAAATAATTCTAAGCATCATTTGGAACCAGAAAAGACCCTGAATAGCCAAAGTAAACTTAAGCAAAAAGAACAAAGCTGGAGGCATCACATTATCTGACTTCAAACTATACTACAAGGCTATAGTAACCAACACACCACAGCATTGGTACCAAAGTAGAGACCTAGGCCAATGGAACCGAACAGAGTACCCAGACATAAAACCATTTACCTACAACCAACTGATCTTCGACAAAGCAGACAACAACATACACTGTGGAAAGGAAGCCCTATTAGATAAATGGTTCTGGGAAAACAGAATGGCCACATGCAGAAGAATAAAACAGGATCCCTATGTCTTGCCATATATAAAAATTAACTCGAGATACATAAGAGACTTAAATGTAAGGCATGAAATCATAAAAATCCTAGAAGAAAACGTAGGAACATGTGTTATTTTTAAATGATGGAAACAGTAGTGGGAATAAACACTTTTTCATTCTGCCCAACTTCTACACTTTCTACCACTGCTGTCCCATAAAAGAATCATCCTTGTTCATAAAGATGACCTTCCTCGAGCAATAATGTATAAATAATAAAAGAACTAAATTCACTTCAATCTTGTTCCATTTTTCAGTGTACCAAGCTGCACAACTTTCCAAAAACCGGCAGCACACATGCAACCAGAGCGACAACCACCATGAGAACATCTGCTAACCAAACTTCTCCAGTCACCAGCTTTGTATGTTCTCAACAAGAATGCACTGTGGCTCTTTAAAAGCCACATAAAATACATTTATATTCATAAAAGTAGTCTGCTAGGATACTGACAGCATATCCAGTTGTAAGCCAGTATGGGCCAGACTGTTTGTCGAGAATATATAAAAAGACATTCAGAAGAGCAACATTAATTGCAATTATGGATGACCTAAGAGTAACTATCTTACTGATAAATCACAGTAAGAACTTGTTTAGGTGACTGAGTAGATGTGAAGTCATTTCTAACACCGACCAGGTGCCAGAGGTCTAGTATGAAAACCTGAGGCTCTCAGAGCGGCCTTCCTGCTAGCTGCTCTGAAGAAGCCAGGTCTGCAGGCTGCCCCCGTTAGAGTCTGCATCCATCGTGTGGAAGGCGCCACTTCCACATGCTCCCTGTGGTGGTTCTCAACACACGGGAGAGCATCCAAAGTCCTGGCAGAAAGCCTGCTTCCCTGAGTTTCACTTATTTCCCAGACTTACCAGACCACACATCTTTTCTTAATACACCCACTAATATCCCAGAAAATAAACATCCCATAGAACACATTTTGGGACGTCTTCCAACCAATTCATCAAAGAAAAGAATAAAAATAATAAAGATTTGCAAAGAGAATGACCCAGACCAGAACATAAATCTGCCAGACCATCTTAAAACTGCACCAAGGTCAAACCCCTCACTCCAGCTAGAGAGGGCCAGACAAAATAGAGCCTCAACGTTGTCAATAAGGAGCCCATAGCAGCTCCGTGAGAGGGAGCTCAGGGGACAGAGAGGAGCCTGTTCATGCTGGTTCTATGGAAGAACAGTCCCCAAAGTTACTGCTCCCCTCCCCTCACGTTTGGACCCGTGCTGGTCAGTCTAATGGGGCTCCAGGATCCGGGAACTACTGACACAGGGCAGCTGCAGACAGGAGTCAGGATGGGGAAAAGCAACGCTTATTGCCAAAATCTTTCATTCTTCTCTTGGAGTTCTTTGGGAAGAAAGGCTAAATATCTCAACCTTTATCAAAGGAAAGAAACTACCTGAATAAGAGTCTAACATAAGCTCATGCCTGCCAAGGCCACCTATAGGGGAGGAGGAGGGGGACCCTCTGGGAAAATACTTAGTACCATAATTTCTCCTGGCCCAGAGAATACCATAAGCTCATCATCAGTGCAGAGGCTGCCTTCCATGATGTGGTTAGAACTGTGTGAATCACAGTTGACTTCTTCAGTATTTCAAGGTGTAAACACCCAGATTCAAATTGCTAAAGAACCACCTGAGGTTGCTAGTGGATCAAAACATGATAAAAATACTTATTTTCCAAGATGAAAATTTCAGCCAATTTCAGGGACTGAATGAGGACACTGCTTCTTATTTCAGTTCCATCACAGCATAAAGATTAAATGGTACTTGTTGTTTCTCTCATTGAGTAATTTGCCCAAAACGCCTCCGTTTTTGTTTTTCCACCGATGAGCGTGAGTGCACCACTCTTTCCCCGACATCCAGTGAAGGGATGTGGAATGCAGCATGGTAAGCTGATCCATTGTTCCCATCTTCTGAAATTAAAGTGTGAAGTCTCGTCTGAGTAGAGCTGTTCGGCCATGTTTCAATCAAGCAGAATTTTGAACACGAGCACACAGGGAGATCACGCCACGTTCGTGGCAGTCTGCAGGCCACATCCACAATCCCCACACAGTTATGTTTTGGCTGCTAGATTGAGAAGGTGCTACTTGATCACCCTCCCGTGGTCTGTAAGGAACTGTACAACATGCCAACACACTGGGCAACTTTACCAGGTGAACAAAATGTTTCAACAAATGTTTATTAGCAAGCAAGCACAAAGGGCTCATCATGACTTGTTCCGCATGCTTGAGGACATCGCAGCTCTTGCCTACCTAGGAGCTCCACCCACCGCCTTGCAGTAAACATGTACTCAAGGCAGACACGAAAACATCCAGACACAGGACTGGGTTATGCTGACAGCTGGCTTCAGGCACCCAGAATCCTCTGACCCTGTATTCACGGCTGCATGCAGACAAAGAGGACAGGTTTTTACCAAAGTCTGTTTAAGACACAGATAAGGGTTTTGACTCAATTTACTGACACTAAGGAGAATTCTTTCCAATGATTCTAAGTGGTAGGCTGTTAAAGAAACTGATACGTAAATCTTAATTTTTCACTGCAACTTGCACAATAAAAAGTTTCATAAATGCCAATAAATCCCACCAGGAGAGACCAAGTAACTCATCATAATAAATCTAATAAAATAATGAAACTCAACAATTACTTTGTGCTTCCTAAGTGTCAGGGATAATTCTAAGCATGCTACATGTTCATAACTTATTAAAATTCTCATTCAAACCTACAATCATGCTCTTTTTACAGAAGAGAAGGCTGAAGCTTAGAGAGGTTAAGCAACTTACCCAAGATCACAGACCTTATAAGGGACAGAGCTGTCTATTAAGCCCAGGCACTCTGGTTCTGCCCTTAAACACTAGGCCAGCTGCCCATCTGGCCCAGGCATCACGCATGCCCTCTGGTGTCTTATTAGACCCCTGGAGTACAGCAGTAGGGAAGGTGAGCGCAGAGGAGTAGCAATAAGAATCCAAGACAGCTACAGCTAAAGCCGTGGAACTAAAGGGAAGGCGCTCTTTAAAGAACAAGGAGATGCAATGAAAAGTACAAAACTGAATTTTATTCGCACTAAACAACCAATCATCTCACAACGGGAACACATTCATTTACGCATCCATCAAGGGCTCGTTGGGAAGTTGCAGCGTGGCTGGCACTCTGCATCCATATATCAGTTTCATTGAACAGAAACTGAAAATTCCAAAGATAAATGGAAGTTGTGGAGAGCAAGAATTTATTCCAGAATATTATAATAATTTATCACATATCTCTTTCAATAAGACTTTCAGGTCTACTAACAGGGGAAACAATAATAAAAATTATCCCAGTAAATTCAGAGTTTTGAGGAAGGAAATATATAGTCAAAGACAAAAGTACATGAAAAAGACTCTAAATAGCAAATAAGACTTTCAGGTCTACTAACAGGGGAAACAATAATAAAAATTATCCCAGTAAATTCAGAGTTTTGAGGAAGGAAATATATAGTTAAAGACAAAAGTACATGAAAAAGACTCTAAATAGCAAATACACACACACAAAAAAAGAAGTATTGTTTTTAAAATGAAAAAGGAACTTACGTGTAGGCTAATGTCGCACTAAAGTGCTTCTTAATGTAGGTTTCCAAAACAGGATTAAAATGCTGAAATTTTCTATCAGCAATTAGTCCAATGATAAATACCTGTCAAATTAACCAATGACATTTTCATTAGCAACATAATGTAAACTATTTTGGAATCTCTTTTGCACCACTCTAGGAGGAAATGAACCATAACATTTTCAGACACAACTTGGTGGTCAGTTTACTTCTCCTTATCCTAGAAAGGACATTTGCCTAACTGTAGTTTTACGTGTAAAAAAAAATAACTTTCTACCTGTCCGATTCATCTCCTTTGACTGGATTTACAACTGAAGAGCTTTTACGGCACTATGATGGATCCCCTCCCACGATTTCAAAGGCTACAGCAGGAAAGAACACCTTCACATCTGAGCAGAGGAAAAGGAAAGGCCTCTTACCAGAGCATCAAAAACGAGCGTATCAAAAGTCTCACTCTCCGAGTTCTCCATCATGATGTTGAAGAGGGCATCCAAGGTATCTTGGAGGAACTGCACAGATACACACAGAAGGGTGGTTGACGACGGAAACTCACCCAGCTTCTCCCCGTGCCAAAATAACCACCATCTCTGCAATGTTCCAAATAGCCACCTTTCCCCAATGCCACCTATAAAGCTATTAATTTCTGGGATTTTTTTCAGCCATTAGATGCACAAAACAAAAATTTTGGATGAGTGATTTCAGACCAAAGAAATGCCACCCTGAGTCAAGCAAGGGAGGATCAGAGCAGGGAGACACCCTCCTGCCTCTGCCCAGAGGACCTCCCAGCCTCTTCCTGGCTCACGAGGCTGGTGACAAACAAAAGAGCTGAACACAACTCCAGGAAGACCGCCTCTGCTCACTCTGCACACAGAGTGTAGGCCTCAGCTCGCCACACAGGGACAGGATCCAGCTGAGCATAATAAATGACCTTCTTCCACCCAAGACAGCCAACAATGGAAGAAGAGTGTGATTTTGAAACTGGGGTACATGGCAGTACCCCAATTTCGAGACCAGAAAGTGCTTATTTTATTCAACAGAAATCTACAAATTACATCTATCACCTACTAAAATTTACCAAATATTACCACATGGAATGATAAAGAATCATAAATTTAATTAAGAAAAGAGAACATTAAGAGACTTCAAAGGTATGCCACACTCAAAGTCACTGTGAAACCCTACTCGCCCTTCCCTGAAGGAAATGTGAGATGGGTTGAAAAAGACTGTATGGGAAGCAATGCTCCATTAGCAGAGAAGTTCAAGAATAGGCAGAATGCCACACAACAGGAGACTGGCCACAAAAATGATAAAGCACAGATGTATCATTACTCATGAGGGGTATGCACATTGAAACCACGAGGAGATAGCATGTCACACCCACTATGATGGCTAAGATTAAAAAGAGGAACAACCATAAGTGTTGGTGAGATTGTAGAGAAACTGGAGCCCTTGTACGTTGCTGGTAGAAATGTAAAATGGTTCTTGAACAAGGCAAGCAGGGAAAAAAAATAGTGCAATGGCTCTGAAAAGCAGTTTGACAATTCCACAAAAGGTAAAACATAGATCCACCATGTGACTCAACAATTTCATTCCTAGCTATATATCCAAAAGAAAGGAAAACATGTTCACACAAAAAATTGTACACAAAGGATCATAGCAGCATTATTTATAATTGCCAAAAAAAAGTAGAAACAACACAAATGTCTGTCAACTGATGACTGGAAAAACAAGCAATAGTATATCCATACAATGGAATACTATTCAGCCTCAAAAAGGAACGAAGCACGGACCCACACCACAACACGGATGACCCTAGAAAACATTATACAAAGTGAAAGAATCCTGACACAGAAGAGCACACATCGTATGACTCAAGTTATATAAAACATCTAAGATAGGTAAATCCATGGAGACAGACAGTAGACTGGTGGTTGCAGGGAGAGTGGGGAGTTACTGCTAATAGATATGGGGTTTCTTTTTGTGAGAGAGATAAAATGTTCTGAAATTAGACAGTGGTGATGGTTGCGCAACTCTGTAAATAAACTAGAGACTACTGAATTACACAGAGTGAAAGGGTAAATTTTATGGTATGTGAATCATATCACGATGAAACTGTTATTTAAAGAAAATAAAAAGGAACAGGTAAGGTGGTTGCATGGCAAGGACATCAAAAGGAAGGCTGAATCAGATGTTTGGTTCAGATTCTTCCTGGACCGTTCAGCCTACGTTCGACACTCAAAGGGCCTTCCAGACCCCACAGAGGATCTCAAACTGCTCCATCCCTGAGACTGAGAAACCAAACCACAGGAACCTACTCCCAACCGAGTACGGTAGAACCCTGCAACAGCAGCAAATGCCTCACAGATCTCTTTCAGGAGAGAGGACGTCCTCCCAATCCTAGCAAGAGATCCCAGACCCATTATGGCATAAAATCCTCACTGCACTTTGCTGTGCCACCTACCACCTAATTTATACCAGAAAATATCACAGACAAATGGCGGGGAATAAGCTAGGTGCAGTGGTGCACACCTGCAGTCCCGGTAACTTGGGAAGCTGAAGTAGGAGGATCACTTGAGCTCAGGAGTTCAAGTCCAGCCTGGACAACATAATGAGACCCCATCTCTAAAAACAAACAGACAAAGGGCAGGGAATAAAATCACCCTGACTCCAAGAGCCAAGCCAGTTTGGACATTAAGGGCTTAATCAATTCCATAATTATTCAGGTCTATACCACCTCATTACTTCTGTATCATTTTCCATCATTTTCAGATTGGAAATTCTTTGCAAAGGTCAAAACCTGATATCATCTGCTAACAGCCTGATGCTTCTGCCAACAGGCTCCCCAGGTGTCAAGCCCTGCCTTGTTGTGGTTCACGCAGAGTCCCTGAAACAGGCCTACCAGTCCCAACCAGACGAATGGCACAGTCAGTAGCACAGGAACAGAACCACAGAGAGCTGCAGCCTCACGTGTGGGGCTGCAGAGCGCAGGGGTGCAGGGAAGGGCAGCCTGGAGGTCCTTCACATGCAGCCAGGAAAGGGCTTTGCTTGGCACCCACCCTCTCGTTAAGACTATCCGCTGTAGGACCAAAATCACCATGTTCATTTTCCACCTTCACAGGAAACCGTATCTTTTGCTAAATACACAGATACCTTCCTCAATTTATCAAGCAATGCTGTCTCCCCATTACCAGTTACAAATATACAGAAGGGAACCTTGAATAAATATAATAAAACCCATTACCAGTGTCCCTAAACAGAGCAAAAGGAGCCCCAGGCAGCTGGGAATTCCTCAAGTCCGTGTGGCCTTGGACAAGTCAATTCCACTCTGCAGGCACACGTCGTGTGTGGGACTCACTGGCGAAGGGAAAGCACAAAGTCACGTGAACTGGACAGGCCACCCAGGCCTGGGTGGCACCAGCGTGCACAGGAGGGAGGGAAGGATGTAAGAAAACATTTCCAGGGATGAGAAATACAGTGTGATACTGTATTAGACACGGGGAATGGAAGGGAACAACAGGACAAGATGATTCCAGATTTTTCCTGGCAATTGTGCTACCAGGTCAACAGAAATACAACCAATTCCTGACGTGATACAGGAACTTAAAAATGATAGAAGACAAAATTTCATTAACTGCGTGTCTCCTAAAGTGCATTCACTTATTCCTAGTTTCCATCTGAATTAGGCAATTGATACAACTCGGGGAAATTTAAAATGCAATTAACATCGTCCGAGCCACTGGGAGAAAACAGGACTGAAAAGATGATTAAAATTTAAAGATTAGCGAGGACATGTCTGAGTGGTTATGCAACGAACTCGGGAAAGTGGCGCAACCAGATTAATTTATACTGAAGTTAAGCACATGGCTAGTTAATTAAGGCCATTTTAAGTAATTAATTTCTACAGAGATAAGGGAGTCCCCTCCAGCCATCACCTCTGCCAGAGGGTGAGGAACTGACCCGGCGGTAGAGACCACACCTACAAGATGCCACGTGCTAGTGACCAATCTATCGTCCCCTGGCTGAAACAGAACACACTGCAATGAAAATGCATCTCCTCACGTACCAGGGAAAGTCATTTGAGCAAATGATGTGGTGTGTGAGAGCAAGGAAGAGCCAGAATGCTGGAGAAAACATCAGAACCACAAACAATTATGGAATCAAGAATCTCAACATTTGAGCACGCAGAGGGATGTCAGGTCACCCTAATCTGACTGTCCTACCCCATAGATAAGGCACCGAAGCCAGCGGGGCTTGAATAAATAATAGCACCCGACAGCACTCCGGAGTCTGCCATGTGTGAGGTTGAGCCATGAGTCCAAAGTCACACGGGAAGAAAACGGCCAAGACGAGTCTCTCAGTGCTGTGATCTTTCTGCCACACCACACACCTCCCCAGGTCACTTAACAGGGGAGTCGTGAGCCAGAGCCGATAATACAGATGCCGGTCATCACGATGATCATAACAGTAAAAAGAACTAACACCCACTGGACATCTCCCACGTGTCAGCACAGGCTACCATAGCTCATCTAACTCACACAACAACCCCATAAGAAGGCATTGCTGTTATTAGTAGGGGAAGTGAGGCTTAAAGAGGTTATTTAACTGTTGTCAGTCCTGCAGCAAGGACCCGTCATAAGAAAAATCAGAACCCAACACTAGGCTGATTCCAAAGCCCATCCACGTAAACCCAGACAGTCCTTTCAAACCAGAGTCCAAGAAGTCCCCTGCCTCCTTAGAAGCATATGTCACTATTTGTTAAAGGGATTATAACCGGAACCCTGCACTACCTTTGGAGTCAGCACCTGCATGTGTTCATAGACATAAGACAAAAGAAAAAAAAAAAGAAAAAAGAAAACAACCCCAGGGACAGAGGTTACCTTCACCACCTCCCCACCGTCCACCTTCATCAGCTGCCTCAAGTTCTGCTGCAGCAGGTTGGTGTTGGAACGCCACTTTAACAGCCCCAGAAGGTCCACTGGAAACAGAAAACAGATGTCAGCTCTTCACAGCAAAAACTTTACGTCTCATTTGTGCATCACATGGGGTTCTCTATAAAACTTTTTGAACAGAGAAATCAACCCTGTTTTAAAGGTTCACTCACTAAATATTCCATTACTTTACAGCAACATACTTAACACCTAGTGCGGTTGAATGCATTATTTCCAACTACATTTGCCATGAAATGATTTCCATGTAGAAGCTTTAAAAATGCATTCAGGAACCTAAAAACCAGCCAATCTACACGAAGGTAGTTTCAAAGCATCACACGGCTTGGAGGAAGGCTGCCCACCTAGAGAGTGCTGCCGTGGCATTTTCTACCAAGTGGTTTTGTTGGTGATCAAAAACAAGCCTTTATTTGTAGATAAAATAATATTAATATAAAATAACTGGCACAAATGCAAGTACTGAACCTGCCCAGGTAACAGTCCGGGCAGCTACAAAGACTCAGGGCAACTGAGACCACGTCTTTGCTCAGCTTCCTGCCCTTTCCCAGGCCTGGGCTCCAATAGCTCTTTGTTTTCTTACAGTTCTATTTTTATTTGTTGCATTTTTAATAGAAAAATCAGAGACTGAATATACTGGTTTTTAAAGAATCCATGTGTAAGACAATGTCCAGAAATAATTTTGTTTAAGGTATCAAGATGTTATTTAAGGTAAGAAGACAGAATCCAAAACTTCTCTAGGAAAGTACATGTGGCTACATAATTTTCACTTGAAGTTATATTAATATCCCATTACTTGAAAAAATACAATTACAAAGTATATCTAATTTACTGTTTATGCTCATCTGGAACCAACTTCAGCTACAGAAATTGTCTCCATAAAAAAAGAAAAAAAAACCCTACTTAATACTGAAAGAAAAATGTAATTTTGGCCATAGGGAGACTTTCACTGAAAACAGACGTTTGTTATAATTTCGGGATCAAATCTCACAAAAGGCATACGTGTAATAAGCACCAAAATGTATATTTGCATTTATTTTACCTTACCCTCAAGTACAGCTGACAAAGGGAGGCGTTAAAAATGGGAAAACAAAAAGAGCGCAGCCCCCAAAGGGACTGATGAGTATGTAAAGTGCAGGCTTGAATACTAGCTGAGGCCCTCGGCAAATACATGACCTTGGCCAAGTGACTTCGCCACAGTTTCTCATCTGAACAATGGGTACAATGACGCCTAATGTACAGTGGGTACCACGGCTGACGTCACGTGGAGAAAGCACTTAGCGTGATGCCCGACACAAAGTACTGAAGGCAGCAGTTGTTCCAAGAGTTGACCGGACCTTGAAACATGTCCCTCATTCGTTGCGGAAGTTAACATGTTTAAATTTCTCATTGACAGTGAAGTAAGGGGAAAGGCTACAGCCTGCCAGACGCACACTCGGTCCCAGGGTTAAGGGACATTCCAATCTCACAAGAGTTTCACTGTCTCCCTAATGAAGACTAATTAACAATCTGGGTCCCATGCGTTCAAAGTGGTGCACTCTGTATTGTCCATGTGAGGGCTCATTAGCAGTTAGAAGAACACGTTGGAGGAGGGGAGCGAGTTTGGGGACAATAGCTTGCCCGGCCCCCCAAGGCTGCCCACGTCAGATGACGCTCTCCCCTTGGGCCCCTGTTCCAGCACTCCTCACAGTCTGGCCCGTAATGACTCTGTTCCATGACTCCTTTCTCCCCAATTATATACTAACAGAGGAGAGGAATCCCAGCATCTACTTCGGCCCACGTCCCCACAGCATCCCGCACAATGCTGAGGACGGAGATGTTTAATATAAACTCCAATGAATAATTCAGCCGCTGCTCTAAGTAATGGAATTTCGCAGTAACAAATCATGGTTTCAGAAAAATGACTCCTCAAACGAGAATCTGGGAGTCGACGGACGTGCAGATGCCATTTGGTGCAGCTCCATCTCGCCCACACCTGACAGGCCACCATCCCCAAAAGAGGAATCGCTGCTGGTGGGAAATGGAAGCCAAAAGATGTCCCCTTCCCTCCTGATGCGCAGCATCACATCGGAATCTCCCTGTTGCCCAGCAACAGCTGCTGCTGACTCCAGGGTGCCGGCTCCCTCAGTTCCAGGAGGGAGCGGCTCTGCAGCTGGCGAGATTAGAGGAGCCTGAGGTGACGGCAGGGAGGGACGCCAACCCTGGGAGAAATCCTGGTTCTCAGTCCTCTCCTCCAGGGAAGTGTGGGCTGAGAAGTATTCCACGGATGGGCCTCATAGCCCCTCTGCTGTTCAGAACATTGTTTTGAAGGAGAAAAAATGTTCAAGTTCCAAATAACAATTTCCAAACACGCTTTTGGAACGCGACCCCTGGACGAGACGGCAGCTTCCTACACGGTGAAAATGGCAGCTCTCATTCTTCTGGAACCTACTGAAATGCTAAAATGCCTCATATGTGGGGTGGTGACCCACGCAGAGATGTCACCTTTGCCCTGGGTTAAATGAGGGCCTGGATGTTGTCATCTGTCAGGCAAGTGAAACAACATCAGGGCCACATCCAGAGAGTAGCGTCTGTCCTGCAGAGGCGTCCTTTCCATAACCCAGTCCTGAGCCAGGGCCTGCACTGCCAGCCGCATGTTCCCTGGGCACTACACTTGCAAGTTTCCCGTGCATCACACTCTACCCCGTACCCTGCATGCTTGCACAGACCCAACCCCCCAGGTAAGGCCTTTCATTTCCTCCCGGAAATCCCTGCACAGTCACAAGCTAGGATGCTTCATGCAAAACATGATGATGAAGGTTGCATTAGACAAACGTATCCCAATGACCTAAAGCATTTGAGTGGCTCATTGGCCCCATACTAGCAGTTTACTCACGAGACCAGCAGTGGGAAAATGTAGCTGGTATAGCTCAGAACGACAACAAAGTGGAAAGCTCAGACAAAGAAGTTTTAAAACCATCTGAAAGTTCTAAAAAGCATCTGACACATGCCCAAATACTCAGGACACCTAGTGCGTCTTTCACTGCAATATCCTGGCTTCCACGTGATGGGTTTACTTTTGTCCTATATTTAACCTGTTAAATCCCAAACAATGACTGTCCCTCAGGCAAATCTAAGACTACTGCCATGATTTGCAGACAACCCCCAGAGACACGATGCATGATAGCAAGAGGCATTAATAATCAAAATCCATATCGGACAATTCAGAGGAAAAAATTGGATTTTCAAGTTCAGTTTCCCGATAGCAAGAAGTCACTCTGCACAGCTGTGATACGGCCACATTCGGGGGATGTAATTTTTAAATGTAAGATTTGTGCAAAGGAACCTCTGCCTCTTCCAGACGGAAGGACAACAACAATGTCGGTGTGCTCTGAATAACAAGTGCCCCTGGCCGGACAGCGAAGCCTCGGGGGAGGCTGCAAGCAGTGGTGCCAGAGCTCGGAGCAGCTCGGCCGCCGCCCCAGCATGGGGACACCGGCTCCACTGACGGGGGATCTGCAGCATCGGGGCTGAGCTTTGGCGTATGTGAACCAGCACAGGGCACCTTACCTCACACCATGAGAGGGACTAAGAAATCTACCCGAACCAACTTTTAAAATAAAATAATCATCTCAGCAAGTTGCTGGGAATGGGAAAGACACAGAGGGAGGTTACCTTTGAGGCAGGAATGATCCTTACGTCTACAGACAAGGAGAATAAGACTCAGGGAGGCGCAGAGGCCCCTTGTCCAAGGGCATTCCCAGGGTTAACAGAGGCCTGAGGTCAATCCCAGCTCCTTGGTCTGACTCCAAACTTCCTGCATTTTCCCTTATGCCATGCTACCTTCCTGTGGCCAAAAAGCATTTTAAGGAGTAAATCCATTGCTTTATCTCCCTTTAAGGTTAATCCTGAGACCAAAATAGAGCATGAATTTTATTCAATTACGGCAGATGTCATCTCCTCTTTCCTAGTCATCGACACCCGTGCAGGTCATCATCAAGGGTTGCGGCAAATGACCGACAGGCAGGGTTCACGTACCCACACAAGACGCCGCGGCTCAGCAAGGCACTCGGGAAAGATGGGGCTGAGGACGGGGACTCCCAGGGCAGACGGGCTTCCGTGCCCAAACTCACCGTTCTGGGTCAGCTTGGTGGAGCACACCAGGGTGGAGATCTGGAAGGAGTCTTTGCTGATGGTGCAGCTCCCGAGGCTCTGCATGCCCTTGCCCGTGGCCGAGTGGCCCTTCTCTTCCAACTCTGCCTTCGTGGAGGGCAGACTCAAGTACGTCCCGGCGTCTTCCAGCTTCTTCACTTCGGCCTGTGGGTGTAGTTGCACAACACATCAAACACAATTCACAAACGGTGACATACAGTGTCTTCCATCCCTCTTTATCCTCAATCCCCATAACCATCAGAATGGTTGCTTTTTGCACTGTGCTAAACAATGTATTTTAATAATTTCCCCTATTCCTGTGGATGAATTCATGTTCACAGCATTTGCATATGGCACCTAATGCTTTATAATACATCATCTTCATTCATCAGGAACAGAAAAAGCGTTGGTCATCAGAAATGTTCATTTACATAATTCAATATAGCTGGAGAGCAGTTTTCCCACAATGATGGGAAATGCAACTTCAGGTCAGGAAGCCCAGCAAGGGCTGGGATGGGTAACCTCAGCAATGTGGCACCAACGAGACCGTGTACCTTATAGACGATGAGGTCGTGCTCTCCATCTCTCAGAGTGGTCCCGTCATATCTCATCAGCTTAACAAATGCCAGTGCGAATATTTTCTCAGATTTATCCTTAGCTGAAAAACAAAAAACGAAACAAACAAAAAAAAATCAATAATCACCTTCAACAATGGTCACGACAAAATAACATGATAAGCCTACAAAGGCTACCTTTATGAAAACAATTACTAGATCGTATGGACAGAAGTTAAAGTCTACCTAAATATATGAAAAAATGGACCACGTTCACCAGTAGGAAGGCTCCTATCATAAACAGATCGGCTGTTCTCAAATGAATCCATAAATTCAAAGCAATTCTGATCAAAATCTCATGGAAGAGATTTGTTATGGAACTTGAAAACTGTTTCCAGGGCCAAGAAGGCAGATGGTTTTGAAGATGGGTGTGCAGGGAAGCCCGCAGCGCTAGAAACCAAAAGTAACTGTCAAGCAGCAATCACGAGGACACTGTGGTTTTAATATAGGGACATAGACCACCAAGAACAAGCAGGGCTAGAATCACGAGGCCAGGGCACATGGCAGAGGCTGGGAGGGGGTGGACCACTCCACTAAGAAAACTGCTTGTCAACACAGAAAAATAAAACAGAGTCCTGCCTGGCAATACCTACTCACATAAATTACAAATGGACTAAAGACCCGAATGTGCAATTTTGTTCCCTTTGGCAAGAAAGCTCCTTCCTCAGATTCCTGCATCTGGGACTTGCTTCCCACTCCATTCGAATTCCTACCGAAACGTCCCCTCCTCCACAGGCTCCCCATCTTGTCTAAAACAGCAAATCAGCAGCCCAGTCACACTGTTCCCCCTCCCCTGATTTATTTTCTTGCACAATCCTTATCGCTACCAGACCACGTAGGTGGTGAGAGAGGGACACAGATAGGGGGGAGAGAATTTGTTGTTCATTGTTGGTTTCGTCCACTGGGCCCTGGAATGTGAGGGACCTTTTGCATTTTTTTACTTCTATTTCGCAGTGCGTGAAATAGTGGCCGGCTTACAATAGGTACTCAGTAAATATCTGTGCTACGTAGGGAGATGGCCAAGAGACAAGTAAGTTCTTTCAGACAATAAAGAAAACAAAACTTGGTGTTCTGTTACAGGGTGATGGTGAGAACAGGGACAATCCGATCAATTGGTCAGAACAGTCCCTCTGCAGAGGGGGACGGCACACGAGCAAGAAGGAAACACTCCAGGCTGAGACGCCAGAAGGAGAGGCCCTCAGGTGGAGCTGACCCTGCGGCTCATGGGAAGACAGAAGGCAGGACTGGCTGGTGAGTGGTGGGCAGGGAGCGAAAGGTAGGCAGGTCAGGTGGGGACAGGTGGAGTCTGGACTCAAAGAAGTTCCAACACAGATTTCTCAAGCTGCCATCTGAGTCTGGCACAGAAATATTCAGCCCCAGAACTAAAATAAATTCAAACCTCTCTTTTTAGAGACAAAAGAACGGAGGTCAGAGAGGGAAAAGTCACACACCCACCCTCCTTGAGTCAGGGGCTCAAAATATCTACCCCGAGACCCCACGGCATGAGACAACATGCCTTATAATCTTTGCCTTCCTGGTGCCCATCGGTATCTCGCACACAGTAGGTGCTCAATCAATGCTGGCTAATTAGGTAGTTCAATGAATGATAGACTAACCAAAAATAAAGGAAGGAACAGAAGTAAAATATCTGCACCCTAGGACTCTAACAAATAACTCTGTAAAAGGGCACGAAAACATATAAAATATTTTAATGTTCAAATGGCAAAGAACAGTTCCTCCTAAGATGGGGCTGACTTGAGAAAACAAAAGCACACCTTCGTGAAAGCAGCCAGGTCCGGAAGGACGTGTGACAACAACCATCAGCAGATGCTTCTGCCGATCGTACCTACCACTAAGTGCACAAAGTAAGTGCCCCTTTGTTAACATTCTGCATCTTCACGCCCAAGGACAGACTGTTTCTCATCACGTGCTCATCTGCAGCAGCTACGGGGTAGACAGTTTATATTACAATACATTTGCAGAACCTGAGGACCCACAGAAGGAGCCACGTGTTCTGGGGTGTGGGCAGGGCTGCCCACTCCCTGAGGTCCCACCCAACCAAGCCGGCTATGTTCAAGGGAAACTCAGCTCCTGGCCAGCTGAACCCATTGCCCCAAGTCTGCGGAATTCACAGAACACACGATCTGATGCATCTGGAACTGCTAACAAGTTGCCAGAAAGGTGTTAGAGCATCACATCAGCACCAGACTTTCCAATCCCAAGGACGGACCCTGGCATGAGAAATCTCATCCTTGTTCCCTTTGCTCACCTCCTCTGTACGGTGGAAAACAGCTCGTATTCAGCTCAGGGGGCCAACGTCTACCTGTTTTTGCTCCAGGTATCTGCACACAGGGCTGGCTGGAGAGGCTCGGTGGCCACCATTGGCGACTGACATCCCAGGATTGCCTGAACATCACACTTGCAATGCTCAACATGTTTCTAAAACCCCACAAGCTGTGGCCCTGGAGACTTCATTAATTATGCAAATGTGTCCTGGTATGTCGGGTGATAGCATCTTGTCTATAATAAGTACTTAAAACTGACAAGAAAAACAAGGATTTCAAAAATTAAAATGCTACAGGAGATATCCCTCTGCCCTAGTATAATTTATTAATTAAAGAGAATAAGCTTGTTAAAATGGAGGAGTATGATTTTAACACGAATCCTCTGCGGATTCTAGAACTCTCTGCTTGTCCTGCTTCCTCCTTGGGCCCTCAGGGCGATGTGTAGAGAGCCCTAAATCACTCTTCCCCACGCCCGGGCTTCTCACCTGCTAGAGGGCGTCTGGGGCCTGCTGCAGCCCACTCGGCCCTGCCATGCCACCCCTGCCGCTTCACTCCTGCATGTGCTGAGCCTGCCATGACCTCCACACCTTGGCCGAGGACACACCTGGGCCCAGAGCTTCCCCCTTCACCCAACCCCACTCTGCTCACAGTGCACCTGTGCCTAACTCACAGGACGTTTCCAGGCCGCCGTTCCCTAGTTGGTTCTTACAAACTAAGATCACACCTCAACTCAAACCTAAGTTCTGCAAGAGGAGAAACTCCAGCAGCTTGCTGTGTAGACAGCAACAGCCCAACAAGGACCAAGTGACAAAAGTGGCCGCGCCACTCCCTCCAGGCACCAGCATATAATGCTCAGGCACACGGACCTGGGATGGAACCAAAGCTCTTCCACTGGCTATTTGGGTGACTTTGGGCCAATAACTTGGGTTCTCTCAGCTCCAGTTTTCTCTTCTGTAACATGGGAAAGTAATGACAATAATATTGATCCCATACGGGGACTTATTTATTAATCCAAATAGCACAGTAAAATTCTTATGCACATAGTCTGAGCACAGTGGATGTTAGCTAATATTTATTGATAGCTACTATTATCCTACAGCTTTGGCCACCATCGATGCCATGCGCAGTTAGCAGGCCCAACCTGGTCTGGGGCCTGGTGGCCTGGCTCTGTCCCTAAGGCAGGGGTGGATGGCCTCCATGCCCCTGCTCCTCCCACTCGATGCAAACCCAGGTCCACAAGCACTGCTGGAACAGAACAAGGGGTGCAAGATGCTCCAGGTGCTGCCATCTCCTCCCTTATTCCCCACATCACCTACCACAAGGGAACCCGCATTATTTTGGACCTCCTGGTTTAGCCATGTCCCTGGCCTTGCCCCACTGTATGCACATCTGCTCCCGGACTGCCACGGACCTGCGCTCCAGCTCTGCAGGCCTCATGCACCATACTCCCCAACTCCTCTGAACAGTGGGCCCAGGCTTCCCAGCAGCCCCCAACAGCCTTTGCTCACGAGTTCACTCTCTCAGGCTGCTCTCCTGCACCCCTGTCTAGGCACACCCCACACCATATGGAGCACCCAGGCCAGGCCTGGTCCCCAGAAACAGTAAGGTGGATTGACACATTGTCACAGCAGCAGTGGCCACAATGGAGCCCCTGCTCAGGCCAGGCACTGTGCAGAGGGGTCACCAGCCACTATCTTGCCTGACCTTCAAGACGCCCCAGGAGGAAGGTGTTCTTATCTTCCAGTGAAGATGCAGGAGAGGCTCAAGCACAAGCGTCTTCGAGACCTCACAGAGCCAGGGCTGCCCACTCCACTCATGTGGCCCCCACAGGGTCACCAGTGACAAGCACAGGCACTCAGACCATATGACTGACTGAAGCACACAAGATCGCTGCCAACTCTCATTGTCACTGATTGTCCCAAATGTTAGCCCACTGTCAGACAGACACAGACCCAGAGGGGCAGGGGTGATGTCTTCTGTGATGTCTTAGTGTCTAGCACAAGGCTACGTCTTTAGTTGGCAATTAATTCGACAAAATGTGATGCGACAAACTTCAGTAATCAATAAGTTCTTTTTGGAGATGAGTGATTCGAACATCAGCTCTTTCCTCCTAACGTCTTGGCGCCATAGTCAGTACTGCACCAACGTCTATGACAAAAGCCCTGCCCCAGCTCCAGACACCCAGAGCCACCAAGGAAGACAAAATGATTTCGAGGTTTTCAATTCCAAGACAAGGAGCATTAGGGGCCGATTTCTGAGATTTGTTATAGTTCAGTAAAACTTTTCTGACAGACGGAACACGGTTACAAGTCAAAACAGAAGACAGGAAACCGAAAGAAAGAACAGAGAGTATATCATGGGAGGAACCGGAGAAAGCAATTAAGACCTCCCGAGATCTGCTCAGCAAAAAAGAGATGAGGACGTTTCCCGGGAATAGAAGGAGGGAAATGAGCGAAAGTTTCCAGGCCTCGCTACATTAAGATAACCAGGTTCCAGAACCAACCAGCTTGAGCTTTCCCAAGTTGTACCCTGCAAAAACCATGGGGCAATAGAGTGTTTACTCACAGTCCTGCGACGACCTGTGGCGGAACGTAAATCGCAGGTGACTGCGGTTAACGTCCTCGATGGGAATGGCCACCTGGAAGAATCAAAACAGAAGTTGAAGCCCCATTACCAATCTCTTCTGACATGAACAGCTGCATTCAACTGGAGACATCAGGCAAACTATAAACATTTCTACACTGCAGTGGTGCAAATACTGCGTATCTAGTCCCCTATATGATTCTTTCAAAGGCAAATGCCTTTGCAAAATTTAAACAAAATAATATCACAAAGGATGCCTGTGACTCTCTGAGACAACTAGATGTTTTTCTAAATGTTTTGGTCCTTACTGTTAAGATTCGATTTTTAAAAGTTGCCATTTTTGTTTTTAGCTCCAACACGGAGATGTTTATATTCCCTCTGCAGCTGTGGTGACCTGCCCGCAGCTGCAGCAAGAAAGCTTTCTTGTTACATTACAGTAAAAGAAAAAAGAACCAATACATGCTGCCTGTAAGCAAAGACTGTCCCGAATTCTCACATCTAACATCTATATTCCAGAGCCGACCCCGGCCTGGTTTTCAAATATTCAAGCTCTTGGCAGTGGAAAGGTGTTACTACGGCGGGGCTATCGTGGAGATGTGAGCACACAGCATTATGAAAATGCACAGTGTCATTGCTACGGCAAAACCTCCACACACTGCCATCTCTGTTTCTTTCCATTTGCTGCGCAGACAGCATGCCACACATAAAACAGACCTGGGAAGAGAAAGACAATAGCTATCTTAAAAAGATTCTGTCATTTGTCTCCATGAAAGTCCTATTTTTATGTCCAAAAGGAGATGAGAGTAAATGTATTCCAAGAAATGTCAGCGTGGTTCCTTAGCAACCTTGAATGACTTTGCTGGGAGAGCCACTCTGCAGGCTCAGAGCAGCCCCAGGGCTGGGTGGGAGGTGGGGATTTCCTCGGGATACAAATGAGCATTGCATAATCAACCCCATGTGATAAAATGACCATGTAAGTAATACCTTCACAGTCTCAAACCAGCGCGGCTGTTTTACTTGGTAGTAAATCACAGATTTGTATTCTGAAATCGCTTCATCACCAGCACCCGGGAAAATCACATGCTTTAAAAGAAGGCATAAAGAGTTCACGTAAGACCTCATAAGCTTGACAGTGCATACACCTCCCACTACATACGCTAGGACAGACACACTCCAGGAGCACCAATAAACCCCAATGCGAATGGCATGTGTTCCCAGCAAGAAAAAGGCAGATCCATCTGAAGCCAGCGGCCAGCCTAAAACCCTGATCTCACACATTTAAGATGATGGTTATGATCCTGGGCCCGAACAACTTTAACACTAGGATCTGCAGGCAGTTACCTGATTCATCCTGTTAGGTCTACACTGAAGGGCTGTAGACCAAAAGGAGATGGCAACCCTCCCCCCCCAGTAGTGTCTATGCTGCTAATATGATTGCCAGACCTTCCAGCCTTGGGCTTATGACAGCAAATAAGACCCCATGAAATGGCTGGGCACGGTCAAGACCACAGGCATCCCCCGAGACAAGCCGGCTGCCGGCACCCAGTGCACACCAAGCTGGAGAGAGGGAAGCACGAACCAACACTCATCCTGAGAAACAGGATTACAGAGCCCCTCTGTGACAGGTTTTATCCTGTAGCAGAGCCAAGGTGAACGCTTGGAAAGTGAAATTTAAACACTACAGATTAACCTTTGCAGCAAAAAATACCTCCAGTCGTTTCCCATCTTCATCGTAAACAGACACAGTGACCTCCACGTTCTTCGCCGTCGTCTTGCTTCCTTTATCAAAATCTCCTTGAACTAATGTCACATAGATATCATTTCGAACATCACCTGGGGAAGGGGGGAATCATATCTTTAAAACCAGTCCGTTATTCATAGTGTGGTCGTGAGTTTTGCAAAACTGTCTAATGTGCTACCTAGCCTCGTTGAATGCTACAAATACTGCATGAGGTAATTAAGAAATGTTTTCTACAAAACCGTTTCAGCACGACAAAAGCAATATTCAGCAACAAAAGACTTGCTGGAAAGAAGAGAAATCTCAGAGCCTCAAATTATCTGCTTGATTCTCCATCTGGGCAGAGGACTTCTGTAAGCAGCCAACACCCAGAGGGGCTCGAATGCTTTTGATGGGTCTGCCCCAGCCCAAGCCCTCCCCTCTCCAGCATCCACAGCCCATCGCAACCAACCCCCTCATCCCTTGTTACACTGCTGGCTGTGGTTGTCTGAGTCCTTGGTAGCCACAGAATATGGCAACACCAACTGGCACACCCAGATGGTAACTGGCAATGTTGGCCTCCTCTGCATTCTTCTAAAGGCATGGGGATTCCAAGAGTTGAATAAAAAGCTGATTGAGAATTAGAATCAGGAGCCTAGAATCAGGGAAGAAGGATGGGTCTGGGGAGAAACTTTCTGCACGGCTCTTCTCTGGCAGCAGCTGTCAGGATCCCAAATGGGGCCCCAGAGAGAAGAACAAAACAGACCTGTGCATTTTCAAGCGAGAAGGGCCTTTAATTGGGGAAGGGCTGGAGGTGGAGAGATACTAGAAATGAGCTCAAGACTCTTCTTCCTACTGAGAACATATGAAGCCCCTGGTAATGGTCTTACTGGGAAAACTTCACAAGCTTCATTAGCAGCGTGATTTAGAGTACTCCTCGCCACCAGTGACTGCTCCTCTGCTGCCAGTGTGGCACCTCCCACGCCCTGATCTCCTGCTCTCCCAGGGGAGCCGGGAAGCAGTTCCAGCAAGAGCAGAAAATGGCCCTAAAGAACAAAGATCCCTTAAGGAAGATAACCCCCACCCTGTGCTTTCTTGGTCTTTGTTTTGCTTTTTTTTTAATGCTCTCTTTCGACTTTTAATGTATCCCAGTATTATATTCATCTTTCATTTAAAAATGATTGTTATAATAATCCCAGTGGGTCACTACACAGCCTCCTGGCTGTACTCACTGACCATGACCTCAGAGATGACCAGCAGAGCACAGGGCTGGAGGCTGGAGGCAAGGCTGCTGTCGAAGACCTGTCACTCATTCACTGTGTGACCCTGGATGAGACACTCAATCTCCTAGGCCACCCACCACTAAACAGCCTCGTCGATAAGACAGGCACAGACTGTATGATCTCTGTCTGCAAACTCTATCATGGCACAAACTCATCATCAGAAAGGGCCACAAGAGCTCTCTAAAGGCCTCACCAGCCAGAGAACTGACACGTGCTAGGCGTGGTGAGGTGATTAAACCCACAGCCCTGCTCCCAAATTCACCTAGCAGTCGATACTGCAGGACCATCTCAGAAGGAAGACATCATTTACGGTAGGTAAGCCCACAGACGGGTGCTCACAAAAGGCCCTCTGCAAACGCCTCCCTAGGTTGCAGGGTTCACTCTGGGGAGGAAGGAACTGGAAGCAGAATGGACTGGACCTCAGCTCTTCCCAGCTCCAAGGAAAACTCTACTTCCCTGCCTGGACCCTTCAGGAGGATCGTGACGTTCCAGGGGCATACGAGGGAAGAAGAGCTGCCACAGGACGACAGGACAGGCTATCCCACTGTCCAAAGAAGACGCACATCTCTTAAGACAGCCGATGAGATGAGGCCATTCACAGATTCTGCTGGGCAGGTGAGGTCTACCTGGAAACCGCCCACGCTGTCTTTCCGAGGCCCACAGCCTGGTCAGGGACTAACGGCCAACCCAGAACGCAGGTGACTCACTCAAGCTGGAACACCCTCCTTGAGACTCTGACCCCAGGACATAGCACATGGAACCTGCCAGAACAATGATCAGCTGCATGATCTCCCTGTGAGTCAAACACGAGACAATCTAAGAGGTCAGACTTACTTTTTAAGTCCATCAATTATAAGGGAAACACTATGGGCATGAACTGGAAGTTTCCTGGGCTTCCCTTTGAACTGGAGACATCCTAAGGATGCCAAGGTAAATGCATATTGTCAACGACTTCATCCTAATCTATAAATCTGCATCTTGAATCCACATGCAAACAATAACTACGTGAATTAGTCCACTTTCATTAATAAGTCTAAATTAACTTGCTGCATATAGACTTGACAGAATAAATGTCATCCTTTTTTCCTGTGTAGGTAAGGCTACTACTCGGTCTAACCAATTCTATTATGTCTTTCATATGGACTCATCAGACATTCAGTGACCCACAATAGCCCTGAAAGACAAAAGGAGTAGAAAGAACACGTCCCAAAGTTGCCCTAAAATAAGCAAAGCAGTAACTCTTAAGTATCCGCATCGAGTAGCCACCTCTCCCAGCGAGCATACAGCAGAGGCCTATAAAACAGGGGCATGCGCAATTGTTGAACATGGGTGGTTTGTCCCCATTTCCACCGCTCATTAGCAGCGTGTCATTAGGCTACAGTGCAATCTTGAAGGGAATTAGTTCAATGCCAATATGTAAGCTTCCATGACCCTTAGGTGGATCAAGTTAGATTATCAATCTGAGCATTACTTGCACACCAAAAAGTATCACACAGATATAAAGGCTAAACATTAACATGCTTCCCAAGATCTCCTGAGGATCAAATCGGATTATTAATATGAATGTCATTTGGAATCTGAAAAGTATTATGTAAACGTAAGAGATTAATGAGAACATGGAGACCTGTTACTGGTTTAGTCAGCTTAGAGTCCGTGCCGGGCCCAGAGCACTACCAGTGCGATAACTAACACTAGCTGAGCAGGTACCAGGTGCACGTGCTGTCCGCATTCTGACCCTCCTTCCTTCTTTTGATCCCATGTCTACACACATTTGCTGGGTGTCCATGCTGTCCCCACACTGCCCTTGCAGCTGGGGGCAGCTGACCACCGTCCACGTGGCCATGGTGCGTGTCCGCAGCCCTGTCCACTGGGTGATCCGCCACCACACTGCAGCTACGCACCGCCCGCCACAGCTCAGCCGTCTCTCGCCAGAGCGCGGGCTGCCGCCGCCACCACCCACACAGCGCTGTCTGCAGCCAGCTGCCCCCACACCACACTCAGTGGCCCTGAGCGGGTCTGTCCTTACCGGGCATGATTATCTCTGGAAACCCCGTTTTGCGAGCCACGGCTGTGGTCCTGTCCACCAAGTGCGGAAACTCTTTTCGAATCTGATGGATATCTCCAGGAAGTAATTTCAGTGTTACCCACAAACCTAGAAAAACAGTGGATGTTTTTAGTCACATTTTATCCTTATACAGTTTTAGAAGTTTTCACAAAACCAATTTGATGAATAAGCAACTTTGAACTCAGACTTCAACATCTTGAGAGCAAAGGTGGGTGTGTGAGGGAGTGGCCAGAGAGGCGCCTGCCATGCGGGTTGTGTGCACCTGAGGAGCTGGGACACTAGCCCTGCCTGGAGTGACCAGTGGGGAGGTGACAGCGCGGCAACAGCCACTGCACTCATCTGTCTGCCCAGTGGCTCTTCCGAGTTGGGACACATTGAAGACTAATCAGCAGGCAGCATTTCTCTGGGAGGGGGCTGAGAAGACTGTCACTTTCTAGTCTCCCAGGAAGGATACGGAGGAGGAAGATGCAGAAGGTGATTCACAGCTTCAGGAACCCACCAAGGTCTCAAGTGGCAAAACAGCATCTCACTTCCCAGGTGAGCAGCAGAGCGCTGGGCTGCCGGGCACCAGCGGGCCAGCCCCACCCAGCTTAGGACAGGTGCAGCCCGCAGAGGCCAGTCCCTCCGCGTCACAGAAAAGGAGGAATGAATGCACCGGCCACCCTAGGCTCTTCTCTCCAATGGGGAAAATGAAGACTTTCAAACCCTCTAAGCCAAGGGCACCCTGGAGAGAGCAAGGTGGCGCTGCCGAGCCCGCGTGCAAGAGCATGTCCCCAGGCCTCTCCTTCCTTGCAAGGCTGATGGACAACTGTATTTTCTAGAAATACTCCTGGGCAGGACTCAAATGAGAAGCAACAGTAAGAGGGAATAAGTAGACACATGCAGCAAATCGAAGGCTCCAGATGCTTCCAGAGAGCAGAGGCCAATCATTGGTAACTGTTTAGCTCAGGACCCTGTACTCGGTAGAAGACAAATGAGATGCTCACCGACCTCGTCCTCAGGCCCTTGCCTCTGGGCAGCACTGGAGACGACTGCAGGGCTCCAGGCCTCAATGTTGCGCTGCTTCCGCCAGCAGCAGTTCTGCCTGCTGCAGCCCCACGCCTCATGCCCTGTCCTCCGGCTGCCCACCCTCCTAACAGCTGTCCTGGAAGTGCCATTCTCCTTTGCACAGATGTATGTTCGCTGGGATTGGGAAAGTCAAAGCCTCTGGCGACACTGTGTTCTTTGCCAGGAGCTGTTGGAGTCCCCTTTCTTCTTGCCATCAAGTGAGCCCCTCTGATCACCCAAAAGTATCTAACGAGACTTCGTGTGTGCCAGGCACGTGCTGGGCACCGCAGACTCAGGGTGGACACTGGCCAGGGCTTATTGTTCATTGCAAGGGTCAAACACTAATTCTCTCAGAGAAACATGCAACCCTGAAGAGCTCTCGCAGGAAGAAACCCAGCCGTAAGAGGGGGCATCCCAGAGACTGCAGTCTCCAGGGGCACAAAGGCTGCTCTGTGGAAGGGACGTCGGGCCAAGAGCTGCAGAACGAGGCAACGACAGGCCTGCACCTGCCCCAGGTAGCGGGAGCCCCGAGCTCCAGCGAGGGGAGAGAGAGGAGAGGCTGGGGAGGTGGTAGCGATCCCACCCTGCAGGGCTCTGAGACACACCTGGACAGGGGGTGCCCAAAGGAGTGCTCAGGAGCAAGTGTCAGGACCCGACTTGACGGCTGTGTGGGACCCGTAGGTGGGAGCACAGAGCAAAGTGAGGACTCTGTGGGGAGACCACTGCAGGAGCCAGGTGACAGCTGGCAGGACTTGCATTCAACCATGGGGAGCAAGGGAAGACCAGTGTGGAGGCCAAATCGGCAGAACGGAGAAAGCAGGGGTGGTAGCAGGGGTGGCAGCAGGGGTGGCTGGCAGAGACGGTGCCCGCCACAGGCGCACCCACGAGTAGGTGCCAGGATAACATTCCCTGGCCTGGGAACCCTGCTCTAGGTGGAGCTGCCCTGAAGGGCAAGCGCGCAGGGCAGGCAGGGAAAGAAGGGAATCCCAGAGCACGTGCAGAATTCCCCACACTCAGAGCTCACACCGGGAAGGAGAAGCCGTAGAGGACAGGGGAAACCAGGATGGGTGGCCTCCGTGTGGCCACCTGAACCAAATGCCGCCCAAAGGAAGGTGAAGGTCTGCACGAGCCAGCAGGACATCCCAGAGCACGTCAGTGTGCTCCAGGCAGGAGGGGAGGGGCAGTGCTGGAAGGGAGAGGGACAAAGGCAAGGGAAGATGAAGATCTGAGCACAGAAATCGGAAGAGAAGGAGAGAAAGAGTCAATGTATGGAGAGGGATGTATTGTTCTGGGTAGAATTGTTTTTTGGTGTTTCCCTTTTCTTCTTTCCTTTCCTTTCATACATTTTTCCTTTTTGAAATATGAAATTCCAGATCGTGGGAGGGCGAGTAAGGAAAGAAGAATAACTAATAGAAGGAGGTCCCTAACGAGGCATCAGGGGATGACACCCAGACAGGGGCACATGGACCATTGCTCAGGATGCGCACTTGGCAAGGCAACTGACAAAGCAAGGCAAGTGGGAGCTAAACCCTGCCTGTGTTTTGCTCACGAAGCCCCGTGCCCTGGCACTGACTGCATCTCCCCACTCACCCAGTTGATGAGGCCCCTTTTTCTCATTTGCACAAAAGCACCCGAGTCAGCAGCAGCTCTGGACCTGCGGAACAGGTGAGCAGACGGACCCGCAGAGGGCCGGGCACGCCCTCCTCGCCCTAACCCCCGGCCCTGTCCTCCAGTAGAGCAAAGCCAGCCAAGGTAGTGCACGGGGAACTATCGCCATGCCTGACACGGTGCTGGGCTTCACCAGAACACCAGGGTGCAGCTAAGGGCTTCGCAAATCTTGAGGCCTGAGTCCTAAAGCCCCCCGGGAGAGTGCACGTCCACGGAATAAGCCCAGCAAGAAGACACTCTCTGAGGACGGCACGATGTGCTGAGGCAACTATTTACAGAGGTCAAAGGTAGAGAAATGAGGAGGGAACACTTAACAACAGAATCAGAAACGCTGTGTTTCCAACACCTTTCCTTTCCCACAAGTACCAGCTTGCTCAAACATCTTAGTTCATAAACTAGTGCATTAGTGACGCCATTAGATTTACTACAGCCCAATTTAAACATGCAGATTAAATGTTCCTGATTATGTTATGCTTAAAATGCTGTCCTCACAGGAGAAAATGAGGCCAATTTTCACCAAAGAAAAAGTGTATTTGGGGTTGACATTTGCTTAACCAGAGTAACTAAAAACAAAAAGAATTAGCATACATTATAGCTCAAACAACGGAAGAGGATGCCCCCAGGGGTGCTTGTGGATTGGCTGTCCACATAAAACACCCAACACCTCTGGGTTCAGGGATCAGAATAATTTGATTTCAACATTAAGTATTTTATCCATTGTGACAAGGAAACATGTTGGTGCAAACTTACAACAGGATGAGGCCCCGGGGTGAGCTCAGAACAGATGAGGGGTGAAAAATCCGCTGGTTCTTTGTGAAGGTGAGTATTTCCTGGGGGTCCCTCCTGCTCTGGGCACCCTTCCCTGTAACTTGACGGTCACACGCACATCAGGTTGAGCCTGGGCTGCTAGCGGAGAGAAGAGCGCCACTCGGCAACGCCCTGCAAACCCAGCAGCCAATTCCGTGCGCACCGAGCTCACTGGCCACATCTCACATCCCTCCCTTGAATGACCTGAATTCCACCCCAGCGTGAGCCCTGGAGAAACGTTCAGGTTCCAGGTAAAACTGCACTAGTCATGTTGCCCAAGGGCATTTTGATTCAGGAAGGAATCTGTGATCCCCTTGGAAAAAAACAATCCTTGTTCTCGTCTCATTCTCACTGTGACCTGGAAACGCCTGCTCCTCCCCTGCCGGCTTCACAAATTTGGCAACACACCAGCGAGACTGGCAGAGGCAGGCATCGGGTCCTCTTTCTGAGTGATTTCCTGCTGGCCTGAAACCAAACTCCACTTTCCCTGTATGACTCCGTAATAAAAGTTGATCAGAACTCTGATGACTCTGCAAGAGAAAGTGGAGACCCAAGGGGAGCCCCTGCTCGAAGGGCTGAGGGACCTTGGCACGAGGAGAGAGACTCCAATCTGAACAGCCCTAATTGGACCTCCCTGTGGTTTCCAATTAAAGTGCAAATTGGGAGGGCTGTTAATTTATGAGAAGCTGGATCCTGGGTCAGCTTAAATTGCTCTGTCTGCAGAGGCTACATTTCATCAACATTCTGGGTTGAGGTTCTTGTTCTGCTACTGTTTATCAGGGAGATGGGTCGTTCACACCAGAAGAGAACTGTCTGTCCCTGCAGGGTCCTAGGAGGGATCCCTCCAGAACATTCTTCAGACTCAATTCAAATTCTCCTTTGGAACAACAGGAAATGAATCAAGATAATTGTTTTTTAAAAGCCTAGAGACGTAAGGTAACTGGACAATGAAGCAGGTCTATGCACCTAAGCTCTACTGAGTTTACGGCTGGTCTGTATGGATCAAGGATTGGGACAGACCCGTGAGATTCTGAAGGTGACTTCCCCTTGAGCTGGAGGCGGGGCTGCAGTCCCAGTGGTTTCCTGGCAGCCCTCCTGGCCAGCCCAGTGCCAACTGTCACCAGCCCAAGGTGACTGATTCATTACTTCTGCCAGCAGAATGTCAGCTGCTCGGAAACGTGTCAGCGTAGGATTAAAAACGATGCGCGCGAGGCGGGGAGTGGGGAGGAGAAATCGCTTGGAGAACAGAAGCCAAGGGGAACGGGTCTGCACAAACGAAGCCACTTTCTCTGGGGGACCAGAGGGAGGGCCCCAGAATACAACCTGGCAGCCATTAGCACGCAGCACGGCAGGGGGTGGATTCTGCCTGGCGTCTCTCCGTTTCTCTGAACGTCTACTCACATCCCACTCCGCCCTCCGCTGCCGCCCAGGAGGCTGGCTCTCAGCACCGCTTACAAGGTGAGAAGCCAGAACGCCACGTGCGGTACACGGGCACAACCATCACACACGTCATCGTCATCATCACCACCGTCATGATCCACATCAAACAGAGGTGTAAACCAGACAGCACGGTCCCGAGTTCACATTCATGGACATGGATAGAAACAAAACGGTAAAATACGTACCCTGCCCCTTGTGGTTGACTTCTTTGGCAGCGATGACTTTGTTTATAACAGTCTGAAGGAAGTCATTCTCCCCCGCCACCCTGGGTGAAAAACGGGATGACATGTTCAGCGGCTTGTGTCGAACGGCGTCGTCCAACGCGAGCCTGCAGGGCACGGGACAGCCAAGACCACAGCAGACAGAGGGGCACAGAGACCCAAAGGTCACAGTAACAAGGGGACACGAGAGACCATCGTCACCAAGTGCGAGAGAGAGGCACCGTGAGTCAACGCACGACAGAGGACAGGAGAGGTGACAAGAGAAACAGGGAAAAGCATTGATCAGGAAAATGCTGAACCACGAGAGAGAAGTAGAGCAAACGAGGGTGACCCGCTCCCCGGGAAATAAACATGCACCAGGCCTCTCTCCACTTCCACTAGACTTTTTTTTAAGAAAAAAAAGGAACTTGTCTAAAAGTAACATGGTTGAAAAGCATTTAATCCCAGAGAATGTTTATGGCCATTTCTCCAATTTCAATAATTCTGAACACAGCATAAGTCAAGGGGCAGGTGGTCTGAAGAGAAAAGCCCAATTAAGATTTAAAAAAAAAATCCCTTGAACCTAATTGCTTGGAGAAGCTTTCTACTCTACTGCATTGGACCGTGTACTCCATGGAGCTTTAAATGATGAAACATGAGACGAATGGCACAGTCTTTGGAGAACACAACTGCCAGCTACCATGTGGGAGAGGTAAAATTATGACGCAATTACGAATGCAAACCATCAATGTTTTTAGGGCCCATGAGCCAGGAGCCTTTCATAGCTGCTGCGCTGTACAAGAGAATAAATACAAACAGGCAACATGTGCAAACAGAAAAACCATGTAGCAAAACAAAGCACAACAAGAAATGAACAAGAAAATATACAGCATGTACATAACGTTTCAAATCAATCCTAGAAACAAGGACAGTGTTATCCGTCACTTGAGCCGCATCACTCAGGGAGCTGAGGACTGTTCAAATGTACTTCACCAAGTTACAAAAGACAAAAAGAGAGAGCGAGAGAGATGTACGCTGTGCCTCCTTCCCTAAAACCAACCCTGTGAGATAATAAATCAGTTTTAATGGAGCAAAAAACGGTTTCATTAGCATGACATTTGCCAAAGAATTGGTTTCGTTGCTTATTTTGCTATTAAAATCAGGCTGTTCTTTTGTTTCTAACACTGCAAATATGAATCTGTGTATTAGTCTTCCTTTAATGGAGCAAGCAGTCACAAATTACATAAGAGTTAAGCAGGTAATAGTATCTTTTAAAGTGGATGTTTCACTAAAAGAAAAAGATGGTGGCAATGTGCAGGCCATCTCGAATAGCTCATAACGTGTCCTGTATAAAAACAGTGAATCTAAAACGAACAACCTCCCTAACTTTTCAAACAATATCTGAAGTTTTCTTTTCCTTGACTCTTCACAGAGAACACTAACAAGCAACAAGTATTTTCAACTTAGTAGTGCACTCAGGCATCAAGAAACTCTGAGGTCCAACATATAATACAGCATTCAAAGCATCAGAAAGCTGTACTATTTCTCATGGGGGAAAGAAACAACTTAATATTATAATTTTAAAAGGTGTATTTCATTTGCTACCTGAATACCTACCCATGTTTCATGATGATATTCCCCTTGTTGGCTAAGGAAAGTTCCAGATCCCGTAGAACTGTGTTTTCTTTATGAACTATCGCTACTAGGTGAGATTCCAAAGCAAAGTTATCCGACAGAACTTTCTGCAGGGATGGAAACGTGTTCTATATGCGCTGCCCCATGTAGCAGCCACTAGCCCCGTGTGGGACTGAACACTTAAAGTGGAACTAATGTCACCGAGGAACTAAATTCTTAATTCTACTTAATTTTATATAATTTAAACAGCCACAATGGGGCTAATGGTTACCATATAGGATAGAAGAGTAAACCTAAAGCATTTAAGCCACAAAGACCTCTTTGCCTCCAGTTGTGCACGGTGAGATACACACAACTCAATCCTGACTTCAAGCCAGATGATGTAGGGTTTTCTGTTATTCTGGTGCCAAGAAGATTGCAAAATCTTCTACTGAACTATACAAAAAACCTTGGGAGCTATCTAACGAGATCACCTGCCTGCAAAGAAAGCTAATTCTGCCCATCTTCACCAAGTGGTGCTCCAGTCTCAGGGTGAGCGGGGTGGTCCGTCAGGAAGGAAGCGCAGGGCTCTAGCTCTGGGAACGAGCTCCCATCTCCTGCCCCTCAAGGACAGGGCTCCTTCGGCCACCCGATCACCACCAGTCTCCCAAAACCCTCCACAACACCTAAAAGCAACATAAACTTTCTAAAATAAAATGTTTCAAGTCTGAAATCGCTTAAGTAAAAACAAAAATGAGGAAAAAGAGAGAATGCAGAGCACTGTGACAGTTCACATCAACCCACCTGACCATCTACTCTTCTAAGATTTCACACCCCCAGAAGGAAGATGTCTCTTGCAATGACCAAGCCATGCTAATTCCTCTCTCTTCCTTTCCACCTCTGTCCAAGGAGCAGGAGTGCCCTTGAAGTGGCCAGAGACCATTATCTAATGACCCTCTTGATTTCCATCATCAGGGAAATAAACACCAGTTCTTTCAACCTCTTCCATGGGTTCTACCTTCAAATCCAATAATTTAGTGGATCTCCTCCAAGGGCTTTCCTAGCTTCCACGCCTCTCTGAAGACCTCAGGTCAGACTAGACAAAGCCTAAATAATGATGAGCTCAGATATAGTCCACTCTGAGCAAAAACCAAGACAGAAAAATCAGTAGCATGATTATATGCTTTATTTCTCACTTTACAAAAGAATTCATCATTATTTTGTTTGGTTTTCCATTTTAAAAACAGCAACCTCCTGTGATAAATCTTAAAAGTATTGTGTTTTGAAAATGTGAATAGCTACTAGAATAAATCAATTATGTAAAGAGACATTCACGCTTAGAGCAGAATTGTAATTCTGTGCCTTCTGCATGACAAGGCAATTCAGTGATCACACGTAAAATCTTCTACTTCCAGGACCATAAACAAACTTTAACCCAGGACTCCTACGGCTACAAAAACTTCATGGGCTGTAACAGCGACTAAACAGATTTTTCGTTATCATAAATAATAAATCCCTCCTTGTGTATAACTTATAAACTTAATTACAAGGATAATTATCACAAACCTACATTTTCCACATTCTATCTGCTTAAGTACTTGAATTGCTCCATACTTACGGCTGAAAGGGAATAAAATGCTGTTTGTCTTCATCGTCTACTTTTCCGTTTATTATATCTGTTACATCCATCACTGGGGACACAAAGAGAACAGAGATTGTTTTGCTTAAATGCTATAATCACAGAAAACAAACAAACAAACAAAGGAACATCAGAATATCTTCTGGCAAACAACAGCAGAAGCTACATGGTAGAATTTTCTTAGATTCAAGTCTAAATTACTTCAATGCTTAAAAGACAAATTAAGTTGTCAGAAAATGCCGGCCCACACAGAGTCAGGGCTCTGATGGCAGAGTTCCAGATAGCATTTCTTTTGCCTGTTATCCAAGTGTCATTCTAAGGTTGCCCTGACCAACAGAACTTTCTGTAGGATGGGAATGTTCGACAACAACGAGCACCTAAAATGCAGCAAGCATAATAGAGGAACTGAATTTTTACTTGGATTTCATTCATTTAAATTTACACTGAAATAGTCACATGTGGCAAGTGTTGGCCAGCTCTCCTCTGGAACCTCACATGTTACCGCCTTCCCCCCAGAAACAAAACAATAAACAAGTAGCTACAACTTTCCAAGAGCCCACCACATGCTGCTGTCTGTGGATGATGTTTCAAGGGGACACTTCGAGGCTGATCCTCACAGTCACCTACTCTACTGCTGGAGAAACTGAGGCTGCAAGACAGGATGACAGCCATGCCTAAAGTCACACAGTGAGACAGTGCCTAACACCTAAGCTCTGTCTATCCTATTAAACTGCCTTCACGGACCCATCCCCCAGGTGGTCCAGGCTTGCTAGCATCACAAGTGAGGCTGACAGCCTTTGCACTATTCCTGGGTGAAAAGGAAAGATATTTCCTGATTGCATTCAGGGGTTAACCCAGAGGCACTGCCTGCCTTCCAAACAAAACTCCTTTGCCCTTGGCTAAGACAAACAGAACAAGAAAATCCGAGAGTAACCCCAGATGGAACTGGACGCTTTCCCCGCCTCTGTCGTTGCTCAGCCACCACACTGGACTGCAGAAAAGAGAGGAACACGCCCTGTTTACTTTCTTCGCACAAGCTCTTCCCTAGTGACTATCATCATATATTGAAAATGTGGACAACTTTCCTTTCTACCACCACCACCCCACCCCCTAAATAAGGGGGAGGAATTTGTAGAACCAGAAAAACGGCATTCTCATGCCCCGCTTGGCTGGGTAAAGCCCACGGGGCCTGCATGGTGTATCCCATGGTAAACACCCTCACCCGCCCCTCTGAGCCAACGGGCCTCAGAGAGCAAAGAGCCTACGCACGTGTTGAGAGATACAGGTCAAGGACTCCCAAATAAACTCGAACATCCAATGATGGCTGCTCAGAGTATGAAAGGCCTGGGCTCCAGCCTTCATCTGGCAGAAGCCTTCTGGGCTTCAGGCACTCTTAGGGGTGATGGATTAACACTGGACTACAACACCCCCCCACTGTGAAGAAGCCCATATGCCTGGGACCACATTTTTACCACCAGTTCAGCATCATTACATAAAGCTCATTTGAGCAGCAGCCCACTTACAGGCCAGAACTAAGTTAGTCTGAACCCAGCAGACCAGCCCTTGCCTGCCAGTCCACACTTGGTGTCCCCCCCGGGGGCCTGCAGCCCACTCTCTTCTGCCATGGGACTCATCTTACCAGCGGGTTGGGAGACTCCCTTGGCAGATCCCCAGAGCCCAGCCCTGGAGCACACCAGGAGCAAGAATCTCAAGCTCAGTCTGAGCACCCATGTGCAGAACCACAACAGTCTCTGGCCCACCCAACCTGGGCCTCGGAGGAGAAGGTTTTGATGTCACCAGTCATAATGTACTTTCCAAAGGGCTATCCTTTCCGCTCTGCAGCACACTGGTCCATGCCAAGGAAGTCCCCACTGTGATTTGGATAAGATGTCTCTGTCACCGGAGGAGGAAATGAAGAACTTGAGAGGAAACACCTGCAAACTGACAGGTCAGGGTCTCCACGTTCAGGTACAAGGGACAGTCTGAAGAAGCAAAGACTCCAGCCACAGTCAATACGGCTATGTGCGGGCATGAAGGGCCCAGTAAGCAGATGGCATCGCACGATGCTGGAACACAGGGGCTGGAGATGGAACATGATGGTGGCATCAGGACAACAGTGATGGAGGGCCAGGGACAGCAGAGGTGGGAAAGCAGACGGTGGGATGTGAGAAACGCCGTCACATGGAGAAGGGCAGGGCAGCTCAGTCCCACGGACATGTTGGGACAACTTGCTTAGGCAGCTGGGCCCAAAGCACAGAGATAGTGAAACCCACAAACTCACCGATCCAGCAACTCCACTGAGGAGACCTCCCTCCACAAACAGAACGGTGACACTTCAAGTTCAAGGATGCTCACTGTGTCCCTACTCTACCACAAAGCCAAAACACCCTCAGAGCCCAAAACAAGGGACTGCTGAAATAATGACATAGCTATAGATTGCAGCCATCAAGAAGCCTAATTTTTTAATAATATTTAATAAAGTAAAATATTCATAATATAACGTTAGGTTTCTTAAAAAAGATAAAAAGTACACATATGCAATGTGAATATACTTACTACTGAACTATACACCTAAAAAATGGTTAAGATGCTAAAAAAAAGACTAAAAAGACACAAAAAAATCAATAAACAAATAAAAAATACACAACATGATTTGATATTGTTTTCTAAAGAGTATATGCAACACACACCAGAAAAAAAATTAGAAAGAAATATATCAGCTAAACATGAAGTCCTGCCCTGGCTATGCAGAATTATGAATGATGTATTAAATCTCACTTATCTTTCTTTTCCATAAAATTTCCATAACTTTTATAATTTTCTCACTTTTACTTTATAAAAAGGTTAAAAATAGAAACGTGACATATTATTTTCAACAGAAGACTAAGAACTGTAGACCGAAAGGTCCACAAACACTTTTCTCATTTTAAGGAACTGAGCTCTGTTGACACAGACAAGCAGAAGTCCTTCTGCAGAAAGCCTCAAAATTAAATTTGCATGTGGAAATTGAAGCTGCATATGTATGGGCAGAATACGATTACCAAACAGGAGATCAACCTTCTCAGGTGTGATAAGTGTTCCTTCTCAGCAAGAAAGAGAACATCTGGTTGGAGGATATACTGAGTGAGTTAGAAGCACGTACTATCAAAGGCAGACGTCGCCCAGACATGCCGAATGCTGACTGTGTAAGGGTCTGATGGCAGTGAGCTGCCGGTCCCTGCGCGGCCCAGGTAACTCACAGGGGGTTTGGGTTCAAGCAGAGCTTCTGGTTTAACTGGGCAGCAGTAGGGCACGACTACCTATTAGTAGCTCCCCAGATTTTTCTCACATCCAGATACGGATGGGAACCACTGCATTAAAATATTTACCTTTTACGCCAAAAATTTACACAGCCACATCACATGATGAAATGTCCTCCCTCCTGTCTCAGAGTAGGGTTACTAGTAGGAAACTGGAAACTACAGAGACAGAATGCTCAGGTCCTCAGTTATTATTTACAGATACACAATGGCAGCTGGATGAGGTGGCTCACGCCTGTAATCCTAGCACTCTGGGAGGCCGAGGCAGGAGAATTGACTTGAGCTCAGAAGCATGAGGTTGCAGTGAGCTAGGATGACACCACTGCACTCTACCCGGGGTGACAGAGTGAGACTCTGTATCAAAAAAAAAAAGAAAGAAAGAAAGAAACACAATGGCCAAGCAGGTCTAGGAAAGTGGGCCCTGCTGGAGTAAGCACAGAGGCCTCAGCTGCTTGGTGCTCAGTGCTGGGGACCTGGGGATGGGCAGGACACCCCCACTTGGGGAGTGTGCACTCGAAGAGAGAGCAGAAGGACATTGCTCAGAGGATCTGGAAACTGAAATTGTCCAATAAAGGAAAACAAACACCTCCCGAGTATCTCTGAAGCACTTTTCATTGGTCCTTCTGCAACCCCAAAGCAGGGGGAACGCCCCACGTTCCAGTCACAGCAGAGCAGAGGGGAGAGGACATCCTCCAGAGAATTCGTGGGCAGAAGGCAGGAGGGCAAGGCTAGAACTTGGCCCTGGGTGAGTTACCAAAGCCCTGAGACCGGGGAGTCCCAGGAACATGAGAAAGGAAAGGCAGGAGCCAGACACCAGTCCAGAGAGGAGGAGCCAAGGACCACGGGAGCATCCCCAGGTGGTCAGCAGGGAAGAAGACAGTGGTGGCCTCACTGCCAGGGATCCAAGCTCCAGAGACCAGACAGCGGTCAAGTGTCTCAGTCAACACTACACAAGTGGGGCCTCCAAAAGCAGGGAACTGGGTGTCGGCCACCTGCCCTGCCCGCCCCAGGGAACACTCTGGACTCCAGGCATTTATGGACAACTCCAGGAGGTGGGAGGCCCCAACTTAATTCCAGACCCCACCAAGTATAAGTGACCACAGCGGTGTCAGCTGGGCCTGTGATCAACACTTTCTGGAGTATCAAACCAATGAAAGCTGAAAAAAGTCCCATTTTAATCAAAAAAGGGTAAAAACGGTCAGCCTTTGGCGTGGATTGCATCTTTAAGAAATATGACTATGGCTTCATAGGAACTTATCAGTGTAGTCTATCTGGTGATCTAATAAGCAGAGAATCTACAGCATAGGTGCTCGCAAGAGGAGAAACTTGCACACACTGCAAAGATTTCTCTGATCTCTTAAGTGAAGCCCAATACACCTGAAACAAAAATGTTTTCTTGCAACTATCACAGAGGTGGGAAAGAGAAAAGAAAATTCCTGAAAAACTACAGGTATTTCAACTACAATATTGGATGACACATAAAAGATGCTGAGGTTCTGATAAACAGAGGAGCAATTTTAAAGTATGTATTCAAGTAACAAGGGAAAAAACGTAAGAGGATTTCTCCAGCCCACGGCCGTGAGACCTCAGAAAGGCGACCTTGTGCTCAACATTTCACTGACACGTGGTAAAGTCACCAGACACCCCACGACTTAGCCCTACTGGGAAACAGAAATTGACCGAATTAATGAGCTTCTTTCTCATTATGCCTACATCATTGTTATTATTTACACCTTATGAAGTAGTAAATCATTTTACTTACTAAATGATTTGAAATATTTTTCCAAAACATCCAGGTGGAGCATAGAGAATGTCTAGGGCAGTGAAACTACCCTAGTTGAGACCATGATGGTGGATACAGGCATTTGTGAAACCCACAAGATGCACAGCACCTGGCATGAACACTACTGTGAACCGTGGACTTCGGGGGCTGATGGCCTGTCACTGTGGGTCCGTCAGCTGTAATAAATGCGCCAATCTGTGGCGGATGTTGATGGTGGGGAGACCATGGCGGCGGGAGGGGTGTATAAGAACTGTCTGTATTTTCTGATCAATTTCCCTTGAACCTAAAATTTCTCTAAAACTAAAGTTTATTTAAAAGAGGAAGGAAAAAAACTAAGTCCTGACTTTCCTGGTAGCCAAGGTAAAGGCAACCTCCATAGCTATTCACATAAGCAATGCAGCCATAATGTATCAGGAATCGAGAACTTTTCGCACATAAACATTCATGTGAATCCCAAGAATCACAAACAAAAAACCCACAAGAGTAAATATCAGAGGGCTGCGGAATGAAACTCCACTGCAACCATAAATAGTGAGAGAAACCGTTTCCCAAAACTATGAAAAATGAGAGTGACATTGAAAGAGGTCAAGTAATTAGAATTTCCTGGGGACACTTTTATCTTCCCTCAACAGAGATAACTGGCCTCTCACTTTTCTCGTACTGTCACCAAAAATAAGGGAGCACAAATACGGAGAATTAAAACTCACCGACTGTAAACCAACTCTTCCCCCTCCCAGCGTGCTCTCCGACCTTCTCTTCGCTGTGACCATCCTGCACAAACCCACTCCTAAATCAATCACCAAGCCCGAAAACCTGAAAACCTCCCCTAACTGGCTTCCCTACGGGCTAAGAATTGGGTCAGGGTCTCTCCCAGGAAAAGCTGGGATCCACTTTAAAACCAAATATATGATTTACATCTGAGACTTGTGGACCAGAGCACCCTGGGCCTCACAGGTCGACAGGAAACCACACAGAAAAGAACTAATACATTATTTTTTTCTCTCCAACAGAAAGGCTTATAAATCAAAGCTGCCCCCTGTCCAATTGACATTCAGCAGCGGTTCTTATGCAAAGTGAATGTGATCATCTGAAACTCTCAAGGAAAAAGGGAGAAACTATTACCAGCTACTCCAAAAGGTCTCCTTAAGCCAGACGTCAGTTTCCTGGTGTTGTTGTCCCTCAGCTCCATGCGACCCACTCGAACAATCTGACAGACAAAACTGATTTTCTCCCTTTTCAAGTCTTTGCTTCCCAGGTCCTAGAAATATCAATTTCCATAAATTATTTTGGAGAACCATTATTCAATGTAAGTTCAATTGAAAAGGACAATAAAAAGATGGATTGAGACTCTTTAGACCAGTTTTTATCATTTTAATAAGTCACTCACATGACAAAAGGAATTGAGTAACAATGGTCAATTAATGTTAAGCAAACTTAAGATACAGATTTAAGAGACATGTTCAACGGTAACAGAGGAAACCTTTGTCACAGTGATTCTCAGGGTGGCTACAGACCTGGGAGATTGGGGGAAGGCACTTTTCTTGTAAATATGAAATTGACCTGCATCACAGACAACCCAAGGACCCATGTGCTCTGCTCGTGCAGTAGGGAATCAGAGGCAAGTCACTAAGAGTAGGCATTAGTGAGCAATTCAACTCAACATCTCCGGGTGCACTTACGGTAAAAACAGCTCGCAAATTATGTAATCTGTCTATATCTTTAGGTAATCCTGAACTTGACCAGCGAACCAGGTAGTTTTCACTTGAAAAAGGAAGAAATAAAAACAAATTAATTTTCCAAATACAACAGGATACCAAATGTACATCCACACTGCTTTATAATTAAGGCCACGGAGGTCCACTATACAGATACCTGTGAACCTATAAATAACAACAGTATCAAATAGAGCTACTCATCCATTCACATACACTGCACAAAACCTCGGGAGGTTTTAATTCGGGATGTCTTGGGTTGTAACTGTAATGGAACTACTTGCAAACAGCATTTTCAAGTTTTATTTTAAAAGCCTACTTATTCATTTAGAATGAAGACAGTATAAAAATTCAACAGAATGCATGCTTATTTCACAGCCTATGACAAACCCAATATGCCATAAAATGCAAACTGTATCCCAAGTCAAGAAGAAATGAAGTCCTTATCAGAAGTGAGAATGAAATTCACCCACTTGTTCTGTTTCAGTTGTACGCTGTTTTTAAATTTTGAATGATAGAAGAGAACATATTGGAGTTTTAACACACACACAGACACATACACACACTTCACAGAGTCGAACTGTAATTTTCCCGTCTGGACAAAGAGAAAGTTATGCTGAGGGCCGAGCAAAAACAGTGGATTTACAATGCTATGACTCAACAAATATTAATCCAGAGTGTGTATGTGGCAGGCGCTGGTCTATTTGCTGTAAGTCCAGCCAATCACCTTGGAGAAAAAACAACAGGACAAAGGTCACAGAAATGACATTCACAGAGACCAAAAGTTGGAAAAAGGGAAACATGATATTTGGGGGTCTGGATATATATTAATAAAATCCTGTGAAGACAACAAAGTGTTACTTCAGTCTTCAGCTGGGTCCTTAAAATATTACAAGAGTACACTGTGATCACTGTCACTCTACAAGCAGGTAACAATATACACGTAAGAAGGCTCGCCCTCGCCCAAAGCCCAAGCTGGTGGCCAAACACTGCCCACAAAGAGCTCTTGCCTCAGCTGCTTGGTGACACTGAGCAGCGGAGGGCTCTCAGCACAAGTGGAATGTATCAGTGGCTCTGATGCCGTCTTCCCCACGTGAATCAGAGGAAAGGCAGTAGCCAAGAAATGTTGCCTACCTGATGAATTTGGACTCCACAGGGTCATAAAGAGACATGAGGACTTCAGCATCTTCTCCTATTTTACAAACCACATTTTTGAGGTTGACAAACAAGGCCAGAGAAGGGGTCGCAGCAAATTTAGCTTGTCTGTTAATATCTATGTTCTGCTTTTGAGACTGTGAATGCAAAGAAGGTAGACAGTCACATTAGCCACACTCACCGCTAACCCCTCGCTCTTTTCAGTTCCTGCAAGTAGAGAAAGGTACACCCCTAGTTGGCCTAACACAGCAAAGCCAAGCGTGCGGTCACTTTCTTATCCCACACTTCCGTAACAGTCTGGACTGAGTATTTCCAGTAATACAAAAACTTTCAGATGATCAATGAATGAGAATTATTATTATGTGTGTACTAACTTGTTTAATTTTTAGTTCCCTCATTAGACTGAACCCTCCATGGATATCTCCATCTCATGTATCATTATGTCCCCAGTCCCTAGCACATAGTAGATACTCAATAAATACTTGCTAAATTAATAGATGGCTCAGGCAATCGATTTCTAAATATCTGCTATATACATAATACTATTAATGGTCATAGAAGATGAAAATAGATCAATAGGACATGTGTTCCCTGCCCTCACCAAGCTTGGAAGATGTCGCCCTCCTACCACTATCAGAGAGGAAATGCAGAACCAAGTCTTGTTTCCCATCTGATAGGTGCAAACACGAAGTCAATGTCATTAAGACCCTGTCTCCTAAGATGGCAAGCAACATGCTGTATACAACAACCCCTCAGGGGATAAGTCCTTTCACGTCAGCAGTAGCATGGGCTCCCTTCCATCAATGATGGTATGAAACACACTGTGTAATTGCTCCTTTCCAGGTACTTTTTTTGTGCAAATTCTGGGCTTCACTGATATTTCACTAGTGTTGAAAACCGTTACGAGAAAATGTGTTCCAAATGTGGACGGCGTATGACAGAGAGCCGAACTTACCTTTTCTTCTTGCAATCTTTCCTCCACTTGTTTAGAAGCTATTTCATGAGCTCTGAAGAGACTAATCGTGCTAGTTAGCTCTGGATCCAAGATGTTCCCATCTTCATCTCTAACCACCAGGTCCAAATCAAGAATTCTACAACAACGAGAATTCATAACTTCATGGACACAAACCAAGGAGTTTGAATTCTTTAGTACAACCTCAGCCCTAGGCAACTGAGCAGATGAAAACATCCTAGAAAGTTGGGTTCACTCACAATATTAGGGAACATAATTCTGTGAGGTCACTTTAATTCAAAACATATCGCCTTAGGGGAATTAAAGAAAAAAATTCCTCGATTTTTATTGCTAATGCAATAGTGGCTTTGTCTTCCAATGAGAAATTTTGTAGATCTACAAAACTCAAGTGAAATATATGTTTATAATTATTATGCAAAATATGGAAAGATATTAACACACACACACTATATATATACATACACACACACACACACTCATTCATATATATATATTAATATATGCATTCACATACACATCCATGGGCCCAAACACATGAAAGTGGCAGTTGTGACATCAACATTGAGTTGGGGAGGGAGACAGAGAGGGAAAAGAACTGGAGCAGAGACAAACCTACCACCCTGTTTATTTACGACTGTCTCTGGTAGGGTCCCTTGTACCTCGAATCATTTCTAATCCCTACATTAGGCCCCTGAAAATTTTCAATAAGTATGTTCTATTGTGTTGGAACACCAAACATATGGACATCATCCACAATAATGTTAAGCAACTTCCCGGCCAGATGGCTAAATGTAGTAGCCAACTTAAAACACGATCAACATCTGGATAATAAATCTGTCCAGTCTATATGTGGAAATATTTTTTTGGAACATTCTCTCCAATTCCCGCAATCCAGCGAAATTGTCAGGTGTTTTTTACCACAGATTTTATTTAAGGAGTAAACAAAAGCAATTACATAACAAACAAAATCAAGAGTTGTGCTAGTGCAGAATGTTCTGGTTTTCTTTTTTATAAGACACGCAGGTCTTAGGGTGGGAAATTAGCCACAGATGTCTCATACCCGCCATTGGGATTATATTCCTGTTATTGACAAGTCTACGGAAACAGGCTATTTTTTTTTCACCATATGACAAAGGACAGAGGGTCTTCTGAAGGAATGCTAAATTTCAATTAGAGAGTATCTTCAACAATTACAAATTTAAGAGGAAAATGGAATTGCTCATGAACACTCCATGTAGACAGACTAACTTCAGAGTTCTTTTCTTACCAGGTCACACACCTTAAAGCTAGATATGAGTCTGATCGCAGGTCAAACACGTTTGATTTTTGGCACTCTGCTGAACCACTGCACCATTGGGAAGGCAATTATAAAAAAAACTTCATTTTTTCCTTTTAACATCTATTAAGTGAATTCCACTGAAGATGAAGCAGGACCAACAGGGCTGTCAGCAGCATGAAGGTAAACAGACATTAACAAATAGAGGCTTTTTGTACTGCATGAAAACAGTCTCTGCAGTTGCAAGGTTTGTGGGGTGCCTCAAGAGGAACAGACATTTGAAGAAAAAAGTCTTTTAAGGTCTCATTAGTTATCTTTGTAACATGTTTCACTAATAAGACAAAGACCCCCCACCTCCCAAATATTACTACTTATCCCAGCCCTGAACCTGCTCCTAAGAGGAGTCAGTACTGCTGGGGCGTGGTCAGTGCCAAAGTTGGGTGTGGTCAGTTCCTGATGTGGGCGGGGCCAGTTCTGGCAGGGATGTGGTCAGTTCCTGGTATAGGCGGGGCCAGTTCTAGCAGGGATGTGGTCAGTTCTGGTGTGGGCGGGGCCAGTTCTGGCAGGGGTGTGGTCAGTTCTGGTGTGGGTGAGGCCAGTGCTGGGGCAGGAAAACCACAAAGCACCTGGCTTTAGGAGGTCCAGCCAGTAGATCCCACAGGCCGCACTGAATAAGGCTCCCTCAAGAAAAACACCAGGCTGCCATGTACATCCTACCACGTAATCACCTCAGACTCTCCACAACGGATGGTCAGACCCATTTCACAAAGGAGGAAACCTAAGCTCGGAGAAATTATTTATTCCAATACCAAACATCTGTAAGAGCCCAGGCTCTTATAGATGGATTCTGCATCAGGAACCCCTCATTGCAGAGCCACACACTTTCCAGAATGCTACCTGCAAACCACCATGTAAAGTGGCCTCTCTGGACAACCATTCTAAGTGCTTTTCTCAGCAATCAGCACCCAGCTGACTCTGCATCCAGAGTGAGTTTCCATTATAAAGGTGCAACTTACCACAGCAACGTAATCTAGAGGTTAATTCCATGGAAGCTAAAGCACGCATGAGGATAGAGGTGCATCCAGCCCCGAAATTATGTGCAAAACTGTGTGTGTATGTCTCTGCGTGTGTGGGTCTGTGTGTGTCTGTGCTGTGTTTGTGCGTTTTTCTAGAGAAATGGTCCATGGCCTTCCAATGGACCCCAAAATCAAGGGGACTCCAGAACCCCCAGGTTAAAAAAAAATAGATAGAAAAGGTAAGAAAACCTAAGTGATAAATGAAAAAGACACAAAAGTCCTTCTCCTTATTAAAGCCATCTGTCTTAAAATCAAACATTCAACACTGTGATATTATTTTGTATTCTTTTGTTTTCTTAAGAAGGACAAGGAAGATATGCCCAGAGCATTGGGCTTTAGAGAAATTATGGAGTAGCCTGGAGATTCTTGAGCAAAAAACTGTCTTACTAAGGATTATATTTCCTATCAAAATAGTAAATTACGTTTGGAAACACTTCCTTCCTTAACTAGATTGTTCCATGATATAATGTACTTTCCCAGCTTCCTGCAGCCAAATTAAGCAGGTGGTCTCTGAACATAAGTTCAAAATTAAGATACTCCAATAGAAAATAACATCAAAGCTCCAGAAGATTGGTTTTTGTTAAGCAGGTGGTCTTGAAACAGGTTTCACTGCAACAATATCTGATCTTATATCCAGAAGTCTGTGGTTTTCTGGAAAACCCAAACAAAACCCTTCTCCTATAGCATTTCTAACCCAAACCCTACATCTTGTTCATAATGTTGCTTTCAGAAACTTTTCACACTTGAAAAATATAAATTACCAGAAAATTATGTGATACTTCTGATTTCACAGAAAGGTTCTTTAGTTTACCCAGGGCTCCTTTCAGCTGAACGGCTAGAGGCAAAGCCTTTCCCCTCTCTGACTTCCACAGCCCAGTGTGTGAGATGAGAGGGTTGGACTAAACCAGAAATTTTCCAAATCTGCTTTCCAGCATGGTCCAACTCTATTGTTAAAAACTGAGACTTCCAGCCAGCACCCCGGACACCACAAACCAGAAGCTTAAGGAGGGGTCTGGGGATTCTGTATTTTGAAAGCTCTCCAAGTGATTAAGACACAGAATAGCACTGGGGAACCCAGTGACCAGTTAATTGTTAAGGCTTCTTGCAGCTCTGATATTATAGGAAGAACCAAATAGCTATCAGGTGGGAAAGAGCATGGCCTCATTCTAGTTACAAAACCCGGCAGAATTAGGATCAGAACAGTCATTTCCTTTCAGCATGAGAAAATGCTTGTTAATGCTAGAATGTGCAGCTCTATGGGGGAGTGAGCACGCCATCACTAATGGCATTCAAGCAGAGGTGGGTGGATGCTGGCTGTAGATGGGAACTTCTGCAAGACACATAATTGCACAAAATTTGTTGTTTATCTAAATTCAAGTTTAGCTGGGCTGTATTTCTGCTGGTGAACTCTGGGAAGCCTACATGGGTGACAAGTTTTCTGGTGATCTAATGTCCACTCCAATGCTCAGAACTTAGGATTCCACAGAAGGACACTGGTGCTTGTCACTGCTAAAGAAACTACCACTCCGCCCTCGCCCCCAGCTCAAAATCTGGACTGAAAATCAAATATTGTGAACAGAAAGTAAAAGTTTCTTGTTGGGGCTGGGGGGTCATTGTGGGGTCCCCTCTGGAATGGTGAAAGTGACAGGTCCCAGCTTCTGGGCTCCACCACTTGGAGAATGAAGAGAACAGGTTTTGAGAATGACCCAGGAAACTGTCCTGATTGTCAGAATCCAATAGAAAATACCTCATCCTTTTCAAAATGAAAACCATGCCATGATTTTGATGTTAGAAATTTTGTTTTATGATAAAATGTGATTTTGGTCTTCTCAAGGCTTATGATGATGTTATTATATTGGATAAATTAAGCATGAAATCATCTTTCAAACAAACAAACCTGTTTCCATAATCAATTTTGGCTGTGACCTTCTTCTTCAGTTCTTTGAGCTCATCCTGCGGCAGAGTTCCGGAAAGGATTTGCGACCGCCACTCGATAAGGTCGTAGATCATGTGCCGCACGCTTCGGAACATCTCCCTGTTATCTTGCTATCAAGGAGGGGGAGAAAAAGCCAGTTGTAAAGCTTTTGCTATAAAATAGCATCGTGGAGATAGCCTAGAATGGATATGTCTTCAAATACACATGAGGTACATGTACTCTATTGTGGGAATTAGTTAATGCTGAATGAAAAAGTGTTTTTAGCACAAACCGGAACACACTGCATGGAATTTGGTTTCTATGAGACACTGAAAGAATAAAAAGTAATGTGCAATCCCCAACAGTCCACCCAACATTCCAGCATGTACACAACTGCATCATAAAGTTGACCCCAGCAGGAGCTGGACTTTGAGCTTCAACACCTGTTCACGAGCTCCTAACATCTGGCCCACGGATGGGCAACTCTTAAAGCTCCCTCAGAATTAGTCTAAGCCTAAAGATCTGAATCCTACAACTCGCATACGGTCTTCAGGATACCCTACACCCGGAATCGTTCTGAGCACACTAAGAAACTGAACCCCGGGCCTTGCTGTCAGCGGAGCTACGCAGAAAAACATGCCACGCGGGGCTGCTTCCCTGGCACGCTGTAATGCATGCGGCCCACACAGACACGCTGCTTCTGCAAGAAGCCAAATCCCCATCTACAAGCTCTTGGTGCTTTTATGCCGAAGGAAAATGTAAATACGATGCAAAATTCACACTTCTTACCACTTTTTAAGTATTCTGATGGGTTTGATGCTACAAAGAAAAGCAAGCGTTTGCAACTGCAGGAGTGCAAGCCTCAAGATGAGGGAGCATCCGAAGGGAAAATAACCCAGCGATTCTTTCAACAAAAAGAAATCTAGGTGGAACCTAATGTGATACAATCCCAAACATCATGGTCCCTTTAAAAAGTTAAAATGTGCCCTGTAATCCCAGCACTTTGGGAGGTCGAGGAGGGAAGAAAGCTTGAGACCAGCCTGGGTAACGCTGCGAGACCCGGTCTCTATAAAAAGTAAGTAAAGCCTTTTAAAAATTAAAATGCGCTTATTGCTTCTTCAAAAAAAAGTCCCCCTGTACATATCTGAACCACGTACCCCACTATTTCTACTACTTCACCTTATTTCTATGAGCTTCTAGTATCCCCACCACCCACCCATCAGGCACCCTAACAGGCTATTTTTCATTCCATGAACTTGTCTTTATAATGTTACCCTAATTTTACTCTCTTAAATGAAAACTAAATAGTCAAACTTAATGATTTGTTACAAAACTATGTTCATTTCCCTCTTTCTAATTCTCCTTACTCATTTCTCTAAGGCCATATCAAGTATCTAAAATCCCTAATATTTTGCTACCATCTACAACCACAGAACAGAGCAAAAATTCTATATAAAAACATTAAAACCATCTTTGGCTTGGCTTTGCACAAATCCAACAAAGTAAGTCCATCAGAGGCAAATTTAAGTTTTGTCAAAGGAAACCACAGTGATGATTATGAATGCCTATTCTAGGGTTTTCTGGCTAAAACTGTCCACTGACATATTAGTCAGCATCAATTCCCGTTTGCTTTGTTGCCATATTTTTGTTTAAAAATTGCTAAGTTGAACATGAAACACCGACTACAAAATTGCTCAGATTTACACAAAACATTCATGGCTAACTTTACGCTTTTAGGTTTTTGAGTACATTTGATGAACAATTACTGCAACTGCTTATTACTGTGCATTTATAGGAAACCACTGTATAATCAGAAACCACAAGCCTGCCCAACAAGCAGCTGTGGGGCTTTAGGAAGTTTTCTATGCTCCCAAGAAATTAACGCACTGACTTCCTTCCAGAGCCCTTGCTTGGTGATAATAACATTAGCATATGAGAAATCAACACTCTGAATAGAAATACAGGCTTAACAAAAGGTAATCTTCTGCAAATATGAATTTATGTGCAAAGAAATGCCCTGAGGGAATATGAAATAGGAGATGTCAGAGCTTCAACCTCTCCGCATTAATAAGACTTTCTTCCGAGATCAGAAGAACCGGACAATTGCACACGAAGCTAGAATGCAAAATATTTCCCTACCCTGTCACAAACGCGGGTAAATCTAGATGACTGTAGTTTTTCTTAAATGATAAGAGGCATTACCTACTGTCAGACGACGGCAAAGAAATAAATAGTAATCCCCCTCTGCCACATTCATAAATAAGCACCTGTTACTGTTTAAAAGCAGATTTTAGTTTTCATGATGAAAATATAAACTCTCAGGTGACATCGATGCAGATCGCCTGATCCTGTGTTCCAAGGGCTTTAAGCAATCACGTTTCCCTTTCCAAGGCAAGGACAGGCAAGTCCCCGGGCCCTTTCCTCAGTAGCCCACTGTATCACCGTGAGCACAGCTGCACCCGAACACAAAGCAGGTCACAGGGCACACAGCCCCAAAGAGTGGCCCGACTATCTGGCCACGTCGCTTTCTTTGCCCTTTCTGAGTAAGACCCTATCCAAGTTCTGCTTTTACAGTTCCCAGGGAAAGAAAAACATCCCATTGCTATAGCAAGGTCTGAGAAGACCATTCATTCTCTATTTTTTTCCCCAGAGACAAGATTTTGCTCTGTTATCCAGGCTGGAGTGCAGTGGCACAATCATAGCTCCCTGCAGACTCGAATTCCTGGGCTCAAGTGATCCTCCTGCCTCAGCCTCCCAAGTAGCTAGGACTACAGGTACATACCACCACACCTGGCTAATTTTTTTTTTTTTTTGAAACAAGGGTCTTGCTATGTTGTCCGGGCTGGTCTCAAACTTTTGGCCTCAAACAATCCTCCCACCTCGGCCTCCCAAAGTGCTGGGATTATAGGCTTAAGCTACTGAGCCCAACCCATTCTCTATTTTTAAGTGTTGACCAACATCCCGTTTGCTTACCACGTAGAGCTGCCTCCAGATGGTGGACCACTCTCGGAGTGTTGTGGTAACCTCCTGTATAAGGGGGAGGTCGCCCGGGATGACCGTTTCATGTTGCCTGGGATGAAAGAAGGAAAAAGCAGCTTGAGTCCATGATTTCATTAAGTGCTGTGAGCCGCACCTGGTGAATTCCAACTACAGGCCATAGAGTTCAACATTTAAGCAAATGGAAAGAAAATATACAAGTAACACTGTGTTCAGGCAGATAAGTACATACATACATCTCTGAGAATGACAGGTACAGAGCTTGAGAATGTTCATACATTACCTGCATGCAAGCCATCCACCTCGTACGTCAAGGTAAGACGAAGGAGGCAAATAACATCCCATTAAAGTCTACAGAACGTCAAGGTCTGGCAAGTGGAAAGTGTATTCATAATACGTGTACCCATCTATCTTAAAGATGCCATAAATTACAAGCAGTCTGTGTGGCATTAAAATGCAGGTTTGGGTTAAGATTATTTTTACATTTCCATCATGCATAAAACTCACTATATGATAATACATGAAGCAGTTATCCTTGGCAAAATACGAGAGGTTACAGCTTTCAAATGTCCGTGGTTATTCTCCCTGATCCCCACTCTGATTATCCTCTTACCCTTTTCCCTCCACCGCAAAAGGTTAACCCTTGAATTGTTCTTAACTCATCTGTATTTATATATTGGTTTTCATCAAGTCTACCATTGTTTTCTGGGCAAATACTCTAGATCAGGCACTACGCAAAGTCTGGCTCAGACTCTCTGGGACGGGTAGGAGACAGAACGTGTGCCTTGTACAGTTCGGCTGGCTGGCCCCAGAGGTCCTCTGTGTCTGGACAGACAAGACTCTGGTCAGCATGCAACATCCAGGGACACCCACACCCTTTGATTTTCACAGCACCCAGCCCTGTGGGAGGGACCCTGATTTTGGCTCACAACTGGGGATCAGACCTGCAATGACTTATTGATGGTGGGGGAGGCTCCCAAAGCTAGAGACAGTGGAGTTCCGGAAAGAAAGCTGGCCTCGTGGTGAGGTCTAGAACCAGACATCTGAGGGAGGGGCGCATACAAGACCATCCCCCAGAAAGCTGCTGCTAAGAATGACCCTTTGATGGGAGATCATCTGTGTCTACTGAGGGTCATCATTGTTAAAACAGCCCTGCCGAGCCTGTCACCAAGTTTCGCAGTAAGGATGTTGATGAAAGCGTGGTTCATCACACTCGGCACTGTCATCCCACAAAGCCTGCGGGAGAGATTCCTCTCCACTTGCACCTGAGCACACTCATCAGCAACTGGGCTGTTTTCATGCCCCGTCCACTAGGCACTCTGCACACTGGCTCCAGGACGCTCGGAGCTCAACTGGGCTCCCTCCCACCATACAATGGGGCCCCAAGGCCTGCACCACGTCCTGGCCTCAGTTCTGGTTCCTTCTTACCCTCCTACCTTTTGATGGGCCTCATCTGTCCTTGGGATTAATGTGCCAACTGGCACTAATGCACTTGATCTGGCTTCTTATATAACCTCCGCTACCACCTTGCTACCTGCCGGGGATCGGGAGCACCCAAGCCAGCAATGCCTGCCTCGCAGGCTGCCATGAGATGGAGGGAGCGTCGGGCAGGACACCTGTGGGAATGAGTGGGGTGGGGGATGCTGGGGAAAGGATACAAACTTCACTTAGACAGGAGGAATAAGGTTGAGAGCTCTACTGTACCAGTGGTGACGACAGTTAACAGCGATGTATTGCACACTGGAAAACTGCTAAGAGTAGATTTTACGTGTTCTCACCACAAATAAGTAACTACGTAAGGTAATGCAACATGTTCATCAGCTTAATTTAGCCATTCCATGACGCACACAGACTTCGAAACACTATGTTGTATACCATATACAATTTTTGTCCATTTAAAAAATAATTATTTTAAAGGACAACGAATGGGACACAGCAGGTGCCCACCAACCGTGGTGATTCTTGTTAGTCACTCGGCTCCGCATAACTGCACGAGGTGTCGGGAGATGAGTCGGGGCTGGAGGTCCCGATCTGAGCGTCACCCACATCGAGGGGACGGCTGGAGGCGAGAGCAACAGAGGCCATGTCAAAAGGGGAGGACAGCAGAGAAACAGGAGGCCAAGGACAGACCCTGAGAGGAATGGGCAGGGGACAAAGACGATGTGAAGCACAAGCTGTAAAAAGAGGACACGGAGCATCAGAGTGCACAGGAGCTGCACGGGAAGTGCGTGGCCGACAGCATCCGGCGCTGCAGGAAACCTCCGGAAGAGGAGGACTGAGAAGACACCGTCAGGCCAGGACAGGAGGCAGCACCGGCAAACAGTCAGTGCCAGGGAAGGGGGGCGGCAAAGTGGGAATCGCTTTGGTCATGGGGGAAAGATACAGAATAGGTGGTAATAGGCATATAGCAACCACTGGGCGTGTCTGAGAGTGAAGGACGGCAGGTGTCCAGAGAGAAGAGAGACCAAGCAAGAGACCCTGCAAGAGGGTTCACGCAAGAGGCGAGATGGGACGATAAACTCGGAGCGCAGGAAGGCAGGCAGGGCTGGGACTACAGAACGGCCTGCGTCGGTGCTGGACAGGAGGGACGGCCAGGAGAAGGCGGGAAGGTGGCCGTGCACAGCAGTCTGGAGGAAAGGGGAGGGGTGAGGTCGACTGTCAAGCCCAAGGCAGGGGTGCTTCAGCAGGGAGCGCTGGGGCAGCGAGGGCTGCGTGGAAGCAGCAAGGCAGATAGGCAGGGCCAGGGTCGGAGCGTGGGGAGCGATCCCAGGGACCCCAAAGCACCGGCAGGGAATTGGTTCCGAACCATTTCGCCATCTCTCAGTTCACTTGCCCAGAGTGGGGACCCCTAGTCTGCATGACCCAGTAAAAGGAACCAAACGTGTCTCTGCCTGTCGAGGTGGGTATGTCTCTATTTACTGAGAATTAGAATAATCTCTTGTTCACTTTATCATTATGTTTCACAATTACAACTTACATATATTCTTTTATATATATCAAGCTGCTTTTTTAAAAAAAATCAATCACATACAGTCTGACTTGTATAAGGATTCTGATACAAAGTACATTAAATATACACTTTATTCAGTTATTTCCACAATAAGGCAAAAGTTTCCAAACTTTCTTTTTCTTCGCCTTAAAGCTTTGCATACAAAACATTGTATCTGTCTAAAAAAATACCATATTGCAGGTCATCACCATTCATGCCTCTGAATTATTTTCTTCGTTTTAATTATGTACCATGGAAGCACAGAACCTGAACAGTGCTTTTCATATGTTAAAAGTACAGTGCTTGGAAAGGCAATTTTGTAATCAGCCGAAGAGATGCCATTATGCAGTAATCATATGATTAGTAATTTTATAATTTACATATTTAACTGAGTGTGAAGACATAGCAGAGACAAAAAAAGAAAACATTTTAATGTTCTTCTTCCAAGTTCACACCTGGTTATTCATTTGCCATTGCTGCCTAATGGGTTCCTGTTCTACAAATGTTCTTTTAATGATCTTATACATCAGTTTTATGACCTCTAGGAAACATACATCACAATTAGACAAAACGTAAATTCATATATGTCCCAATTTAACAACTGTTGCCTCACCCTAAATTCTATATGTATCATACCCTGAAAAGTCTTCCCCAAAATAGGACTCAGAGCGAGGGGCTATGGAATCTCTGCCAAATGGGGTGGCTCACAGAGGCAGCACAGAGCACCAAGGCCAGCACTTTCCAAAACAGACCCCAGGTTCAAGGACAACGACTACAATTACAGTGCTGACTTCAGACTCTTTAAAGGATCAAAGCCATGTTGTCCACAACGCTGAATTCCAAGTCCCCTTTTTCTCCCCCAAATTCCTGTCCCATCATAGCTGATCACACGCACTGTCTTAACCCCCTAACGTTACCCTACCATACATATGAGCAGTGAAACCAAATATAATCACTGCAATTCTTCATTTAAACATGGAGACTAGACTTACCCTTTTCCTTCAACTATCGCTTCTTTAAGATGAATATATGAAGCAGGAAATATACCCTTTGGGGGAAAAAAAAAGAAGTAGATTTTATAATCAATATGAATACTGATCACAAATCAAACAACAGCCCCCAAAAAGGTGGGGGTAGGGGTAGCTGGATCACTATTAATTTCGCAAGTCTTCTGCTAAGCCTCATATATGACATATCAAAGAAATCACAAAGAAGTGGAAAAGACGACAACCCAAACAGCTTGTATTCCGAAGAGTCTGTAGACGTCTTAGAAGAAAACAGACAATGTGTTCACAAAGGAAAAACTGCACAGAGACACGGGCAACTCCTCATCTTCTCTGTGGCTCACACCTTGTTCTCACTGTTGACCTTGCACAAGCAGACCAAAGTCCAGCTGATGCCTAAAAAAGTTTTTGACGATGGTCTCCGACAGTTTCTTCTTTCAAAATGATAAAATTGTCATCGGACACTGGTTTAAACCACTGGTTGTCACTTGCGCGCTGACCATTTACCTAGACCCATAGGGATTTTCTCGTAGATCTCCCAAGAGAGGCCATCTGGGAAAATACAGGAAGGTGGGCCGATTTCGCCCAGTCTGCACGACTGCGGTAGGAGGACACCAGCTTCCGTTCACGCGGTGCCTGAGTCTCCTAAGGGCAGCGTACCCATGAGCCCACCAGAACAGAGACCGTGGGAGACAGTTTCTCAACAGGACTCACAGCGTCAGGCACACTCTGGAAAGTGCCGGAGGAGCTTTATCAGGAGTTTGGGTCCTGCTTCCTGAGCAAGCAAAATAACCCCTTCCCTGGAGTGAGGCAGGGGCGAGCCCAGGAAAGGCAGGCTGGGGGCTCAGGCAGTGCCACGAAAGCCACTTCCCGTGGGAGGTTTGGTGCCTGCAGCCAATACCATGAAGTGGCACCCCTGTGGCTCTGAGGTACCTATTTTGGAAACAGGAACTTCTGATTGGGTCTTCCTGGCATCCACACGGGACATCCAGAAACCAAACTACTAATCATGCCTGGGAAGGAAAGGGGCAGGGCAGAGGGCTGAACGGGCCTGGCAGGCACCACTGATTCATGCTTCTCCGGCCTGCCAGGGACGTGGCCAAATTCCATATGAAGAAGAATCACCACAAACAGGGAAGGAGGCAGGCAGAGAGTCACAGACTGAGCCACAAAGAGGACTGAAAAACCCAGCACTGGGTTGCTCTGTTCAGGTCCCGGTTGTCCAGGATACCTCCAAATCCCAGGGTAGTCTCAGGTGCGCAGCGGGCATCTTTCCATGATGCCAGTAGGCGTGCACCCAGGTGGGGGAACAAAACAAACAAGCCAATCCGACCCTGCTCATGTTCCTAGGCAGAGACACTCCTCAACCTCAGCAAACCCACCGGAGAATCATAAAGCCACAGGAGGAATGGTGGCTGGATGAGGCTGGACGCACCTGGAGGCGTGGAATGAGCAACTTAAGCTGGGGCCATGCAGGACCAGCTCCGATGCGTTGCACATTGTAAATATCTATCCTAAGGTTGCTTACAGATCACTTAGAGTCAGGATTCCCAGGGGCCACATCCCTTATGGAAAAATAACTACCGCCCTACCCAGCTCTATCGCGTCAATGAGTTGCAGTATCTGGGCCCCTGGGGCAGCACAGAGAGTACCTACTGGGGGAAGAGGGAGATCCCACATTGGGAGAGGTGACAATGAATACCAAGTAAACATCACAGGAAAGTGAACAGCTTGCCTGGGGCATGCCCAGCCCAGAGAGCAGCAGCTCTGTCCTGAGTAGGGTGGGAGAAGGGAGTATTAGTGTCCATGATCCTAATCTCTTTATTACTAAAGTCTTCAACTGCGGCTCTCCCAGACAAAACTCAGGGTTTCATCTGCAGGAATACACTCTCGACTGTAGGAGGAATCAATGTGAAAATGGAACTTTCCTTAGACAAATCTATTGCCCATCTGCCTGGTTGCAAGCTATCATGTCCACACCTCAAGGCTGCAGGTCACTGGATGTGCAGAGACCCCTCGCCCAGGCCCAGCGTGGCAGGGTTGAGGGGAGAAGTCCTAGCTCCAATTTGCAGGTCTGGCTCACCCCTTTCCTAACAGTGTCTCTCGCATTGGAACATCATCGTGACTATGCCAGAGGAAGGCTGTCAGGGGACCAACCAGGAGCCCACCCACATGATGGTGCTGCGTGAGGGTGGCCACTTCATGGCCCTCGCAGAGTCCGACCTGCTCGGCACAGCCTGGGCAGGCCTCTGGGCAGGCAGAGCAGGGAGGCCCTGGTGCTCGGGCCACTGGACTCAGAAGCCTTGTTACAGGCTCACGACCACAATCGAGACTCCAGCCCAGTAGGGAGAGGCAAATTTAAGACACAGAAGTAAGATGAACCATCCATCTGTCAAGTATAATTAGACATTCGAACGTACGTATAAGTTAACGTGGACAGCCAGACCACGGCTTAGCATGGGTGGTACTTCAAACTCGTGGCATGGTGGAACGAAACAGAAGAGCAATAATTAGGTTTTGTGAAGCTAAGAATGTTAGAGGCCCAGAAGAACTATGCACGGGAGTGTCCACCACAACACTCCAAGATGTAATTACATGTCCCAGTTTCAGAAATTCAAACAACCACGCATGCAAACCGCCCCGGCAGAGCAGAGCTCCTTTGTTCACCATCCGACCAAGCGGGGCAAAAATAGTTATAAGCAAGAGGGAAATGACTGGGCATGAGCTTTGCAAATTTGCTAATTTATCATCAAGGATAGTATAAGATTGAAAACTGTGAGCGGTATTCTCTTTTCCTGAAGTCATTATACCCAGATCGTTCTCCAACACACACAGGGCCCGAATAGGATGAAAATTCCATCAGGAAAAGAAGAGAGCAGCAGGCCTGCACGTTATCACAACCCAGCAACGCACTCGCGGAAAGGAAGCTGCAATTCCTACACATATTGCTCAGAAGAAAACAATTCAAGATAGTTCACATTCCAATCCATATGTTTTTTTAAATTCAGAGAAAGAGATATAGAAGTAAAACTCTTAGACACAAATGAGGTGGAATTGATTTTCTCTCGCAGTTTGATTTATGAAGGGACATGTATTGTGTTTAATCAAAAGGAGGACTTACCTTCTTAGACTTTTTTCGTAAGGTGTAACCTCTGTACCACCCTAAACAAACACAAAGTTGAAACAGTTAGTACAAACAGACATAATAGGGTCTCAGCAATGACTTCATGGTGTGCAGAACTCATTGTTTCACACAACCAGGGAGGTCAGTTTGTCACCAGCATTCAATAATCCTAACGCTTTGGAAATAGATTACGGAATTTCCTGGAGAGCATTTCAACGGCGTCCTTGGAACACTAGCAACCTTCCTCTCCACGTGCCTCACACGGCCCTGACGCAGCAAGAAGTTAAGATGCACAGTTCCAAGAGGAGGGCTTGTCCTTTCGACCACTTGCCCCCGAGCAGGCTCCTTGTGTGTGCATTGTCCTATCTCTCCCTCTGCCTGCGTTGCACCAGGGTCTCCCGAGTGCACATACCAGCGTCACCAGATCACTGCGAGCTGCCCGGAAACAGAAAACCCATTGAGCGCAAACTTCCTCCCTCTTCCGGATGGAGCAGCTTTGCCCTGGAGCAGCCACAATCTCACAAAGTACCTTCTGTGGCAAAGACACAGCCCTCAACAGGAAGCGCCAGGGCCAGGAACACAGGCCCACCTACCGCCTTCGGGCTTGGCCTAGCTCCAGCTTCCCGTCCCCTCTAAGTGGTTAAGAGAGAGAAAGCAGCAAGAGCAGAAAGAAAGACGTGCTAGAACTGTTTGCACACAGCAAATGCTGAATAGAAGAGTCCCTCTGACAACAGAGTAGACCTGACCACACCCCTGGCACCCCCTATCAGGCTGAGGGTGGACACTTGTCCCCACAAACACCCAGGGGTCCATGGCCACCCCACCACTGCATGACATCAGATGGACGTTTTCTTATCCCACATTCTGAAGTCACTCCAGGTTACCTTTGCTTCTGGAAATCAAATCAAAAGCTCAGAGACAAATCACAACTCTGCCACACAGGAGCAAAAGGACCCCTTTTACAGAGAATGCTTGGAAAATGTAAATTCCCAGATAGTAACCATATATTGGGTTTTTCTGCACTGTCAGAAAGTCAAAGCCCAGAAGCCAGGGATGTGCGAATTAGAGAGCACGCTCGGACAGACTGAAAATGGGCCCGTGTTGCAGCAACTGGCCACCACCCCTCTCAGGAAATGACAGTTTCCACAACCAGGGGCGAAGAGCATGATTATGAACCAGAAAATGACGGTGTTAAAATGAGCAAAATCCTCAAGGGATTATGAAACAGATGTTTTCTAAACATCCAGAAAAGGAGACAGAAACTGCCACGACCCTTGCAAAGGACGTGCAAAGGCCCAGGCGTGACCAATTCAAGCCACTTCACTTTCCTGACATGGAAACTAAAGAGATTGATTAGGGGAACCCACGGATACAAAATGTCTAAATTTCAGCCACACATTTGAAGGATTTTTATCTCCTGACATTGTCGAGGTCAGTGGATTCAATAAGCCAGCCCAGAATCAGTGCCCGTTGGTGACACAGCCGTCACAGGCAGCAAAGTGGAGAGAGGGAAGGCAATGCAGCGAGGTATTCGAAAGCCGCATTTACTCAATTTAAAGGACTGTTCTTGATCCTATTACAGCTTTCCTGCATTTTCAGCATTAATACGTCCTTTCTTTTCTGAAACAGACAAAGGATTAACATCTGAGACTATACAAGGAAATACTGCAAAGAGACAAGAAAAAGACAACAACCAAGTAAGGAAATGAACAAAGTTTATAAACAACGTACAGATGAAACCCAAAAGACATGCATATGAAGACATGCTTAAGCCTAATAACAATAATAATCAGAGAAATGAAAACCTACAGTGTAGCATCACCACACAGTTAAGAGTGGTAGAAATCAGAACGCTGCACGACATGGCAGCCCCCGGGCGCCACGGCAGAGCGCGGACTGCAGCAGGCCCTGCCCACCCAGAGCCCACATCCCCACACCCAAGACTCCTGGGGACTCCTGGGAACGCAGCCCAAAGACACCAGCACACCCGTGCATGGCAGGACGGACACGGGATGCTCATGGCAGCAGGATCCCGGGTGGTGGGAAGCGGGGACAAACCGAGTGCCCGTAGCTGGGAGGGCAGTTAGCGAAACACGGACATGCACACGGAGCAGTCAGGGCCACGGACGGTCTAAAAAGGCACAGACGACGGAGTGCACCTTAAAACAGAGCACTAAGGAAAAAGCAGGAAACAGATGAGCTGTAACCAGACTGACATACATTAAAAATATATGCACACCAAGCAGTACAAGAACACAGGCAAACAAAAGAGCCCACTTCAAACACAGTCTGGTTTTACCTGAACGTTACTAGGTGGTTGTTTCTTTCCTTCCTTTCCTTCCTTCCTAAGCAAAACGAAAACCTCTGGTTTTCCTCCCCAGATTTTTTGTATCATTCCTTCAACTAACTGAGCCCACGGGCTATGTGCCAACAACCGCACAAGGCAGCACAAATACAGAAACCCTCTGTGAGTTCATAGACTGGAAGGCCCCTAAGGCAAGCGGGGGTCAAACCACAAACCGTGCTGCTTGATAGCTTAGCGTGAAGAGGAGAGGAAGTCCTGGCAAGGGCTCTGTGCAGGAGTGAGAGACTGTATTAATAACAGAGTGACACCTGGCTGCTCTGCGGGGACCGGCAGAGAAGGCAGGAGCTTGGGGGCGGGAAGACTCACAGCTAGTAGAGTTAAAACCTCCCTGGCAGGGCTTGCTAGTGGCCTCCCCGTAGTCAACAAACCCGCTCCAAACAAGAGACACCCACCCAAGACACAGGCAAATATGGGCAAGACACAGTCCCCAAACTCAGGGAGGGCACAGTCCAGCCCAGGACAATGTCAGGCACGTCATTTTGGAAGAAAATATATCATTATCACTTTTAAAAATTTGAACAAATTAAGTTCAAATTATCAAAAGACAATTTCCGAATCTTTGTGCAATGTCCCAGGTACAGTATCCAGTCCCTGGAGGCCCTGTGGAAACGAGCAGACCCCCGGCCACACACGAGTCCTGACGGGCAGGCCGTGGCCTCAGCTCTCCTGTCTGGCCGACCCTGGACACTGCTTAAAGGCGGGGCTTACACGAATGACCCCTCAAAGCTCTTCCTACCTCCACGGTGACCTGGAAAGTTCCTTTTCTTTGTTCTGTGCTCTAAGCCTTCGTGAGCCCAAGAAAGAGAAATTAACCATAACTTGAAGGTAAATTTGTTCTTTGAACCTTAAAATAAAGCGTGATCATCTAGAGATTACATCCTCCACAGCAAGCTTGATAACATCCTGAAAAGGACCACATAGAAAAAGAAAACTTGACACACAGAAAAAGCTCCTTAGAGGAAAAAGGGGGGGTGGGAAGGGGAGAGGAAAGAAAAAGAAAATGCCAGACTCCAATACAAATCACGAAATTTAAACGAGAGGAAGAAGCAGGAAAACAAAGGGGAGTCCACTATTCCATTTTCATTTAAGGATAATGAAGTCACCAAGTTTCCCAAAGTCAAAAACTACTTCCCCCAAATCCATTTCTCTGATCGGATTCTGATTAAAACCAAAAAGGTAGTTGTCAAGGAAAGGGAATTCATTTTATGTTAGAAAAGAGTCTTTGCAAAGACTGAAAAATTTTAATCAGAATCTAAGAAGACTGACTAGCCCAAGAAACGAACGTTCATTGTAGACCTGTTATCATGTCAGCCAAAAAGTCAGATCCCTGCCATCAAATTTTTTTGAAGTTAAAAGTATTACAAGGACCAGTGATGCGCTTAAGGATTCCACTGTTGAAAGGGTACATTCTTCTTCTGAACGAGAAACTGCAGTCCACACGCCCAGGCTCCACAGGAAATCGTTAACTAGTCAGGAATGACATCATTGCGCAGTGTTTTTTAAGCAGGATTTCAACTTCAACTGACCGGCAGCAAAATGAAAAAGATGTAAGACCATTTCTCTTCAGATCAGAAAAGTGTCTGAGAGGAGAGGTTTGATCCTTAACCTCTACTTAATTTCTCTCTGTTTCCTCCCAGCCACTGGCAATATGTACTGAGAGGAGAAAAGAAAATCCAACTGTCGGCTGTAAAAACTGAAAACGAGCAGAATGCCCGTCACAACCACCCGTTCACAGAGGCACGGGGTCTGCTTTTGCAGTTACCCGGGCTTCCTGGTGCAGGCCACAAAAGCTGATTTTCTTTTTTCAGATGGGACTTCTTTAGGGTAAAAGGTGCAAATGGAATGGGATTCTAAGTCAGCATGCATCGAATGGGCAGTGAGGACGTCAAACACGGGGCATCTTACTAGGTCCGTGCTTCTCTTCGAGGGACACCAGGGCCAGCCATAGCTTGCCTAGGGCACAGAAGCTCACACCACTTCACTCCTTGCAAAGTAGATTCAAGGACCAAGATGAAAGTTCAATTTGTGGATGACTATGGTATGTCTACAATTTCCTCCCCTACCCCAACCTCCCACTTGGACCAGTTTAGTTAAATCTAATCTAAAAGCAAATTTGCTACTGAAATTATCCATTCTATTCAGATCTCTTTATTCATATGCTCTATGGGAAGTACCCCCTTCAAGTAGGAAATGAAGCCAACAAGTCAAAAACAATCTTACACAAATCTGAACAATCTTTAAAAAAATCAAGCCCACCACTGCTTCGCTTCTGTGCAACAAGAACCACGGCATAAAACAAAAGCTGCCCTGCTCAAAGTAGCTGCAAAACACGAAATATGAAAAACAATTGTCTGAAAAACCAAGTACATTGGAAAACCATTGTTACCAACAGTTTATTTATTGGATGATTATAGTGATTGCTTCACGGGACTGCATCCCACATAATTGTGACAAATCTCTGTTCCTCCCGAAGAAAATGGAGATTACAGGCTTAAAAAAAAAAGAGGGGGGGGGAACCAAGGGCAACACACGTAACCTAAACATCTGTACCCCATAAAATGCTGAAATAAAAAAAAAAAAAAGAAGAAAATTATGGTTCCTCTGAGACATGCTGCTAACAGATCTGAGGGCATTTAAAAAAAAAAACTCAGAATTCATATCAAATACATCACAACAATGAACTAAACTAAAATATCTTAACATAATTATTATCAAGTAGTCAGTTATTAACAGTCAAGATTTGCATACACTTGCAAAGTAAGGAGCTAATAAGGTTTTTTGAAGATGTTAAAAATGGGAATTTTTAAGTTGATCTTAATAAAACATTAGTGAAAGAATGCACAGCTTCACTACACCCTTACCTGAAAAGCCATCTATCTGCAAGAAAATTGATCATGAGAACAGAAACGATTGCATGTGTTTTTGTAACAGGGTAAGGCTGTGCCCAGTAGGCACTGAAAACATGTGCCCACTGCCCCACAAGAGAAAACGTACCAAAACGTATACGCACCTTCATATGTCTCTAAGATGTGCACAGTGTCTCCTATCTGCAAAGAAAGTTCATCCGCTCCCCTGGCGTCATAGTTATAAAAGGCTGTGATGGAAAAGAGGGAAAATATATTAGTAGACGTCAAAGTGACTGTGCTGGGTTGTTTTTGCTTGATTTAATGTTGTTGGCTTTTAATATTGAAATATAGTCAGTCTTTGCCTGGATCATTCTCTCTGATACCCACGCAAGTAGCCTTTTCTTACAAATATAAAGGGCCAATAGTTTAAGTGGAAGAAATTCATAACTACTCACAACACCAGATACCCATAAGTGATTTTTTTATTGTGCTGAAATATATATAATGTAAAATTTTCCATTTTAACCATTTTTAAACACACAATTCAGTGGCACTGATTATATTCACAATGTTGTGCAGCCATCACCCCTATATCCAAAACTTTTTCATCACTCCAAACAGAAACCCAGTACCCCTTAAGCAATGACTCCCCAGCCCTTGGTAACCCGCAATCTACTTTCTGTGGCCAGTGGTACCTAGGTACCTTATGTAAGTCCAACCATATAAGTAGTATTTGCCCTTTTATGTCTGACTTCTGTCACTTAGCATGATGTTCCCAAGGCTGATCCGTGTTATACCAGGTGTCAGAACCTCATTCCTTTTTATGCCTGAATAATACCCCATACGAGTGAATGTCCATAATAGGAGGAAAACCGAGGACACTGTTAACAGCACTTTGAGTGTCACATCACATACTATTGTTTGTTTCCACCAATGGATTCTTTTTATTTTCCTAACTGTGAATCAATTGCACATGGACTGAATATTCTTTGAAAACCAAATTAATAAAAAAAATTATCATATAACAATGTTAATATTAAGCCAATAGGTGACATTACAATAGTAGACAAAAATATGTCCAATGTTAAGAAGAAGTCCTTAAAACTGACAATAATACCCACGAAATGTCTGAAATCCTGAATGTTTATTATCCTCACATAAAGCTAATCCTATTTTGCCAAAGGGTCATATTGCTCCTACATAAGCACCTAAAAATTCCTACCATTAAATTCGAAGCACACTTTTGCTCAAGCAGCATGGAATAAAGGCAACTTTTGCAGGTATAAAGGATGTTACAAAGTATTTGGGTCCCGAAAAGTATTCAGCTAGCCCACTCTCAATTTAAAACACATACATACGTGTTTATGTGTGTGTGTGTATGTATACAGTGGTGCTCCTCCTACGCATGGACTCTACCTAAAAGGATGTAACATTTAATGTAAAACTCATCTTCAAAATTGCTGCCCAAATTTCTCCTCCATCCATCCTAAACAGTCCAGCCAGACTGGACTACGCTTAACTGGCACCTTTATGGTGTTGCATTTCTAAAATTCACCTTAACCATATCCTGTGCAAATTCCTCCGGCAAGTGTGCCGGGCCCTCCACCACCTGGACCATCTCACCACGCTGCACCACACCTCCCAACCACACACGCCCTTCCCTGGGCCCTTCCTCCCACTGAAAGAAAGAAGCCGGCCCATCCTGTGGGTGCCAACCTATCCTCCCTGGCCACTTGGGCCTTGCCACGGGATGCACCTTGTCAAGAAAGCCAGGCCCGACCATGTTTGCTATTTCAACGCCACTCCCCCAGACACCACGGGCACCAAACCACACCTGACCTCCCCTGTATTTTCTTCTGTATGAGCCAGGCTTATTTCAGAGGTGTGTCTGAAGACGTCCCCTACCAAAGGAAAGACCACCAGAGAGCAGAGGTCACACACCTTTCAATGTTTCGTGCCCACACCTCCAAGGACAGGATAGTGCTTAGCTGTACAAATGATTTAAAAACTCAAGTTGCTGACATCTCAGTCTGCAAAGTCTAGAACTTCAGGCCCACACAGACTCTGTGGTGTTCACAGTCTCCAGAAACAACCAAAAGGGACGGGACAACACCTCTACCACTGAGGACCCAGGTGCTCTCCAGCAAATGACCTACCCTCTCTCCCTTCAGTTTTTCAAGCATTGAGTGTGCACTGCACGCCTTAAAGGAAACAGCCAGATTTGGCACAACGGGCCCCACGGTGAACGCTCAGTTAATGTTGAAGGCTTTTATTGTGGTTGTATTTTTTTTTACTGCTACGAGGTCCTCTATCACTACCAGAATTCTTTTTAAAAAGCCAAAGTGAGCACACTACCACATGTTCACAAAAATTCTACAATGACAAAAGCCAAACCTATGTGGAAAATCCTATCTTCTCAAGTATTTTCCCCCAAAAATCATAAAATTTAAGTGGCCTCAACTGACAAAGATGATTATTAGTAGTTATAAAGTTTATTTGGCATTTTATAGTGAATCTTTAACAACAAATAACTGCAACAGGTAAAAAAAAAAGCCCAGCGCACACGCTGCACTTCCCCAGCCCAGCACAACCACGTTCTTACGCCTTTAGGAACCATGAATCCATTCATTACATATCTTAACAGCATCCCCGCCAGCAAGCCTATTCTGTTACAGATGTGGAAAAATAAACATGTCAGAAATCATAAAAATGCAATAAAATGAGCATGTCAAGTGTCAATACGTTCAGGCACATGTGAATTTGTAAAGCACGTACACATAATTCCGTCCTTAGAGTTTCACCTTTAAATGCCACACTCCCCAATCCCTAAAGTAGACAGAGAAAAGCAGTGATGAAAATCTTATCTGTGGATATAGAAACTTCAAATTTAACTATGGTATGAGCCAACAGACCCATGATCTTATAAAGGAAAAAAGAGCCTCAGAGAGTTATGTGGGTGGCCCCAAATCAAGCAGAGTGAAGACTAGAACGCCTGCTGCCAGCTCTTTGTTCATTCTAGGATTAATGACTGAATAATCCACTCAACTATGGGCCGGGTGCGGTGGCTCACGCCTGTAATTCTAGCACTCTGGGAGGCTGAGGCGGGCGGATCGTTTGAGCTCAGGAGTTCGAGACCAGCCTGAGCAAGAGCGAGACCTCGTCTCTACTAAAAATAGAAAGAAATTAATCGGACGACTAAAAATATATAGAAAAAATTAGCCAGGCACGGTGGCGCATGCCTGTAGTCCCAGCTACTCGGGAGGCTGAGGCAGAAGGATCTCTCGAGCCCAAGAGTGTGAGGTTGCTGTGAGCTAGGCTGACGCCACGGCACTCACTCTAGACTGGGCAAAAGAGTGAGACTCTGTCTCAAAAAAAAAAAAAAAAAGACTCAACTATGTAAGAATATTTGACAAGGGAGTAGGAGAGAGGGGGTTAAGAACAGCAGATAGAATAACGGCCCTCCAAAGACACCCAAATCCGAAATCCCAGAGCCTGTGAGCAGCCACCACATGTGGCCAGAAGGGGCGCTGCAAGGGTGATTAAGTCAGGATCTTGGGATGTGGGGGTTAATCCTGGATTATCCGGGTGGGCCCAATGTCATCACAAGGGTCCTTGTTAGAGGGAGATAGGACAGAGTCCAGAGAGAGAGATAAGGTCAAAGTGACACAAAAAAGGGAGCAGGCAGGGTGCAGTGGGTCACAACTATAATCCCAGCACTCTGAGAGGTCGAGACAAGAGGATGGCTTGAGGCCAGGAGTTCGAGACCAACCTGAGCAACACAGAAGGACCTCATCTCTACTAAAACTTTAAAGCATTAGCCAGGTGTGGTGGCACACACCTATAGTCCCAGCTACTCGAGAGGCTGAGGGAGGATCGCTTGAGCCCAGGAGTTTGAGGCCACAGTAAGCTGTGATCATGCCACTGCGCTCCAGCCTGGGCCACAGGGCAAGACCCGTCTCTAAGAAAAAGAGCAGGGGAGCAAAATAAGCCAAGGGATGCAGCTGCCTCTAGAAACTGCAAAGGGCAGGGAAGCAGATTCTCCTCGCAGCCCCCAGTGGGAGCGCAGCCCTGCTGAGACCTTGATTTTAGGACTTCACAGCTCCAGAATCGGAAGGTAATAAGTTTGTGTCATTTTTAAGCCCGTAAATTTGTGGTAATTTGTTACAACGACAGTAGGAAACTAGTACAAGAAGGTACGTCGAAAACAATTTAAAAGTGGTATTCTGTAGTCAATTTATTCGCTACATAGGGGAGCCGGAGCAGAGATCTCCACCGCAGGCACCTGAACCCAGACAGCTCCGGGGCTGTGGTGCCCAATTCTTGAGTGGTATGAGAAAAACAGGGACAATGCAGGGAACTTCTAAAATAAACCCAAAAGTATTTAATGTAAGTGACTATTCCTTATTCTGATTATTTGACATTTCAAAGTTGCCCTTTTCAGGGGATGAGCAGGGATGAAAAGTATCTTTTCCTTTATGAAGGACAAGGATGACAAATGGCATCTGGATTAAAGATGCCTTCGCCTGACACAGTACAAACATGGCAACCTTTCCACTAATCACTAGGTTTTTCTTCTTCATTTTTCTGATCTGTTGGGGTCTGGCAACAACTCCACTAAAGAATATGGTCACGACATCTCATTCACATGTTGCGAAGTGTAGCATTAGCCTCCCCCTGGGTGGTGGGCTGTATGTGCAATATATTCCTCCCCTCAAATCCATCTTCCCTCTATTCTAATAGCCTGGCTACAGATGGCCATCACTAGGTATAGAGGCACATCCACAGGAATTTCTCAGTCCTGGACTGCAGAGCCCAGTGTAGAAGCCAGACATGCTTGTATGAGAAGTGAATTGGGAAAGGAAGCAGTGAGAAACCATGCTCGAAGTTCTTTCCCTGCATGATGGTTTTTGTTGTTGTTTTTCTGGAAGAGTTGGCAGTAGCTCAAAGTAAGCACACACGTGGATCTTCTCCCCAAAATAAAAAATTAGCACTCTGGTCTGTGCCTCATATAGGTTATGTACATCAGAGACTTGAAAAGGCAAAGCCATCACCTCTGCTCAATCTCCTGATCACCTTTCAAACAGCTGCCCGGTAATGCAAAGAAATACCTGTGGCTCACAGAAAGAGAGGAAGGCTTCCATCTGCACCAATATTATTAATGATCCTGACCATGAGGCTACTACAGTTGATGCTGCTGCTGCTGATATACTATTGGGATACCATAGATGCTGCTGCCAATGCTGATGAT